CAGTCGTTGATGTTACTGTCTCGCTGGTCCGTGTTCCTGCCTTGAGTTTCTGGTTACGTTACATGTTTTTATTTCATTAAATAAGTTCTGCACATGGATTCTCTCTGCACTTCATTCCTTGCCCTTCGTGACAGATACATAGCTGACCCACATATATTATGTAAACACAAACTTTTATTTTGGATGCGATTAATCGTTCGACAGCCCTACTATTTATGAATGACATAATTATACCATATATGGGCACATGTCCTGGATAGTTAGAATGAACCATTTTGGTGAAATTCTGGCTTTCGTCATGAGAAACATGCAGGCAGAACAGAAAAGAGGGGGAACTGGGGCGTAGACAAAGAGGGGCAGTATTTGGTAGACTGTAATCAAATGCAGCACTAAGAGGATAGGACATGCCAGAGTGGAGGACACTTCTTAAGATCCATGGAAGAAAGAACAAAAGGAAATTCCTATTCGAGGCGATACCAGAGTGTGGGATTGCTCGAAAAACCCGCCAGGACCTTGAACTCCTCTTGAGGAAAAATCAAAAGCAGAAAATCCTCTCACTGTGACAAAGCATCCAAAGACAATGCAGGGTTTTTGGAAGTCGGGGAAGATATAAGATAAAAGCATGACAGATCAGTGTTGTTGCTATATAGCTCACACAGAAATAAAAAATTCTGTCACTTGCACATTTCATTTCAAACTATGACGTATGTGAAGACCAGTTTTGTGAACTGGATCAAACTGATTCACTGCAAAGATCGGACTGAAAATAACAATTCAGTTCTTCTCAACGTCGAGGTGCGGTCGCATTTACCGAAATTTAATTGGAGTCCACACAATCAGGATTTATCCATGCAGATTTCGCAACAGGTTCAAGTTGGTCATGCAAATTCACCATGTTGACCAACAAAAAAATGCTTGGTTTGAAAGCGACTTCTGTGTGAGCTGTGCAACCGTCCACCGTTAAAGGCACACTGCACAAGATTTTTCGATCAAAATATCCAAAAACCTCTAGAACAATGTTATGTGTTTTGTTGATTGAACTTAAATTATCCCAAATGATTCAACAAAAGTTTAAATCCAGAGAAATAAGCAATTTTAACCGGGATACTTTTTTGAGTCATGAAACTTAAGGAAAATTGTTGTAACAACTTAACTGTGCTTTGTAAAAAAACATTTTCAAGATTTGTTATCACAACATTTTTTCTTTTGTCAAATCAACTTAAATAATTTATTTAGTTTCTGATGATTAAATCCATCTCCTTCATTGTATTAACTCACTTTTTTCCAGTTCAATCAACTTAAAATTTTAAGGCAACCACAGATTACTTAATTTTTTAAGTTAAACCAACAATATTTTTTACAGTGTACAATATAATAAGCGATGAATAATGTTTTTATACTTTTAATAGTTCACTCAACATTTGAGTTGCGTTTGTCTGATAAAACGAACATTGAATTTCTTCTTATTTTCAACCTGTCTACTCCTACATCTCATCCCATCCAGTCAATTCCTCGTGGATTATGAAAATTAATTTAAGAGAAGTTATAGCCATGTACTTTACGTCTGCTAAACAGAAGAATCTCACCAAAACACCTCTTCAGGAATGTTTTCAATCTTTTATCAAGACTTATGGGAGAAAATAACAAGGTAAACTATGAAATTGCATTATAATGCACATCCACAATAAATACTGTTTTTCTGAGTGTCAAAGCCTTCTACATCCAAGAAATCTTCACTGTTCTCCAGTTTCTGATTAAACCCCTGTTGCCTGTGTTTTTCTGCCCTGCAATTTTAAAGCTTAACCCGTTTCTCTGAAACCCTGAGACTCCATCAGGATCCTGCTACCTGCGGACAAGCGTGGAAATAACCCAGGGACGCTGCTTTAAATATAAATGGATTTACTAATTGCTGTCTTTTAGGGTGGAACTGCGTTTGAATCCTTTGAAATGAAATCTACTGAGTTTCCGGCCCTTGAAAGAATTACTTGCCAATCATGCACATTTTGATATATTCATTCATTTGTATTTTACTGATTGTCTTTGGTTTGATTGAGCTGAAAAGTATTTTATTTTGGACTAAGTCATGTACAATCATGGTCAGGTTGAATAAATCATTATATTTAAATAACAAAGTTTTAATAATTTTAAATATAATTTTTAGCTTATCTATAGCTGCTTTACAGGTTACCACATGAAGTACGTTTTATAGGCGACATAACATGATATGTTCACAGTGAGTGTAGATTTTAATTTAATTCATTTACTTAAAGGGGTCATGAACTGGCTTTTTAAATTTCATTATATTGTTGTCTGAGGTCAACTTATGACGTTCGCTTGGTTTTTGCATTCAAAAATATCAAAATGAATAAGTAATAGGCTATTTTCTACCCTAGTGTTGAGCCTAGCTGAAAAACGCTGGGTTTTTATGGGCGTCTCGCACTGAAGACTTGGAAGTAAACGCCCACTGCTGTGAGTGGATAACCGTTTTGCATATTATAATGAGTTTCAACTCACTTGTCGGTGCACGTGGGGGAAATTGTTTTGAAAAAGTCCAATGTTAACCGGAATGACTCGCCCATACATTTTCAACCCAGCGTCCATGTGTTGCACCATTCCTGTCGGATTCAACACAGACGGCACAGCACCGTTCTTTACTCTTAATCGGTCTGCAAATCCAGTCTTGTTCACGAAACATTCCTCAGTGAAATGAAGCGAACAGACGGACAATGTTTTACCTCATCAGCTGGAACGTCATTAAAAATAAAGTTTATCCATGCAGTCCTATTGGAATACAGCGGAAGCTTATGCAGCGACTGTCTTCTTCCACAACCAGGCACTGCACAATATTCAGTATTGCTCGGAAGCTCGATCCGGTGTGTCATCACGAGGTAGGCATATGTTATTTAGCTATGCGTGACAGTGGGCGGGGCTGAACCAGCCGTGTTGAAGTAGGCGTTGATCTTCTTCTGCGGGGGTGGTGTTTTATCCTCTTTTTCGTCATAGTTCCCCACTTTGAAAAACGAGTCGTTTGCTGAGCCTGGTGTAAATAAAAGCTTTTATTGGACCAACCAGGACGTTTTCAGTTTTGAAATTTACAGGATATTATTATAATATGATGACCTCTTAGATGTCAAAAGCTCAAGGAAAATTTGATTTCTCTGTTCATCCCCCCTTTAAATATTCCTTAAATATCCTTCTCCACTGGTCTTGTTCGGCTATCTGGATGCTCTGGTCCCGTCCAGAGATCTTTCTCCCCCTATGTTGCCATCCAACTTCCTGGTCCCATTTCCTCCACTGGTTCCATCATCGTCTCCTCGGCTCTTCCCCACTGCTACCTCTGTACTGCTCCTCGGCTCCATCTCAGGTGTCCAGACCACCAGCTCAGCATGAGGCTGAATCCCCGGCTGCACCTTGGGCCTCCAGGTCCATGTCTCCACCTTGGCCCGTCAGCCCATCGGCTCCACCCCGGCTCTGCAGTCCCTCGTCTCCGCCATGATCCGTCAGCCCTAGGACTTCTCAGGGCTCCCTCAGCCCTCCAGCTCAGCCTCAGAGAGTTGTCGCTCCGCATACGCCATGGACTTCCGGGTCTCTAGCAGCGCCTAAACCAGGAGTGGCCAATGCCTGTCCTGGAGAGCCACATTCCTGCAGAGTTTGCTTCAATCCAAATCAAACACACCTGAACCAGCTAATCAAGGTGTTATGGGTTACTAGAAAGCTACAGGCAGGTTAGTTTTCAGGGTTGGAGCAAAACTCTGCTGGACTTCGGCTCTCCAGGACGGATGTTGGCCACCCCTGGTTTAGGTGCAGCCAGACACCCGAAAGTCCATGGCGGAGAGACCCTTCACTGGGCTTCTCCTTCCCTCCAACTTCCCTATTGTCCTCACTCGCTCAATCGTCGCCCCGGTCAGCCAAGTCCCCGTCTCTTCTTCAGTCCCATGAGTCAGCAGCTCCACCTTAGGCTTCCGGGCCCTGGTTGTCGCCCTGGTCCTTTGGCCTCTCTGCTCTTACAGTTTTTTCCACACAGCCTGGTTCCTCTGGGTCTTCCCAGGCATTCAGCCGAAGCTCCACCCTGGCACGTCCCGCCGTTGGCTGCACCATCATGTCGCTCTTCCCCTACATCCCCTCATCCCATAGCCGCATTTCCACCACAGGAACTTTCCCCAGGAACTAGGAACTCGCTGTGTTTATACCGCAGGAACCAGGGTCTAAATGAAGTTGCGGGTAAAAATCTCCTCCCCAGAAAGTCCCTGCTGGCAAGGTGGTACTTTTTCTGAGTTCAGGAACTTTCGGGGTGGGACTTGTGTGACTTGCTATTCTTTCTGCCTGATGGCGCGTGATCGTCCCATCCATCTCCTGGTCAATATGTCTGCTGATAAAAACGTCTACTTTCAATATCTAGCATTACAAGCTTTCTGAATACGCTTTGGGTGCTCATCTCTTTTCTGCCAGTTTGTTAATTACCTCTTTAGTAAACCAATCACACACAAAAGCAGCACAGCTTGAATCTCCTCCATACAAAACTCAAAACAAACGTGCAGGATAGGAAGAGGAGTCGCACGCAGTTCAACGTCACTACATAATCTTCCCACCCCGGACCAGTACTTTAGCCCGCGGTGTAAACGCAGTAAGCAACCGGTCTGGGGGGAAAAAAAAGTTCCTGGGACAAATAGTTCCTGGTAATTGCGGTGGAAACGCGGCTTATCACTAGCACCTCCAAAGCCCCCTCCCTCCACACTCAAACACGAGGACACGCCTTCCGAGGGGGGGGTGGGGGGGTACTGTTACAGTTTACACTATGCCAACATTTGATGTATTTAGAGCTACTCACTGTGCTATTTATTTTGTTACATGACATTTATGTCACATCTAATATTTGTCAGTTGAAAGATTTTATTTGACTTGTATTGCTTAAGTATCGGAACACCAATTTGTTTCTTGTTTTTGGGAAATGGCAAGCGCTCACCCGACGTCTCTCAGCACTGGAGCTCTTCTTGCCTGTTTCACTGCGCTCTTATCTCTAATGGTGAGGTCATGGTGTTGTGCTTCTCTGAGCTTATCTCTGTCTCTCTGCCTTTGCTCATGAAACTGACCAGCCAGCAAGAGAGACACACATCACTGCACATACATCTCCATTAAATATATCCCACGTGCACAAGGAGTCGTGCTTGATACAGTGAGTCCAGCTCTGGCAGTCGAGCCCTGTTACACATGATGTAAGATCATCTTGGTAGTCTTTAGACGTAAATGCTGCTATTAATGCGCAATTACACTGTTATTACATTGTAATAATCATATTAATGTATACTATGTCGAATGTAGTCACTGTAATGTAAAGTATTAGCTAGTTTCCAGCAGCGGAAACTCTTTCAAAGGACACTTTGCCCTTGGTTAAATGCATGTGGCATGAAGACTATGTGTGTATCAGATAACTTCAATGTGCCGGCACGCTTATCTCTTCAATCAAATGAGTCCAAATGCAGCCTTTGTTCCACAGCTGATTGTACAATATTTAACCAATGTAAATACAAAAGATAATCTTTGTAAATATCCCTGCTATCAGTATCATATAATGTTTCCAATTTAATATCCCATAAGCCCTGGTGTAAATGGCTTCACAGGAATGTAGATTCTGTCATGATAGAAGTTCTCTTAAAGGAATAGTTCACCCAAAACAAACTATTCATTACTATTAACAACTACTATGTTACAAAATGTAGGAATAACCATATTTAATATTTGAATTATTGATAATAACAAAAATTAGTTAATAAGTGTGCTTAAGCCACATCACTCTGAGGAAACAGATTTTCAGAGTAAGAATTTATACCAGAAGTTCATGTCAAGATCACGCTAAATATGCTCACCTCTCGTATAAACATTTATAGCTCTGGTCCAGACGGTGATTAACATTTTTATAGGACACTGACTGATGTATCAAGTGATCTCAAATCTAAAACGCGGCTTGCTGGGTCTTCCTGTTCCCAATGCATCTGGCCCAGTCTGGCCCAGTCGTCGAGCCCATCTGCCAGCAGTCATTCACAGCGCTTCTGGGAGCTGCTCTACTCAGACAATCCTCAGTCTGTGTCTGCCGTTTCCTCTCCCTGGCATTGCATGGCTGTTGCTGTATTAGCAGTGACATGGCATTATTCTTACATCATTCACACTGCTCCTTCATGACTTCTCTGACTTCATGATCTTGTTTCCAGCACAAATGTAGACGTGCTTCTCCTGTTGGATGAACACAAATAATTCAGAGGGGAAGGCTTCGTTTTCTGTATATGCGACACAATGAGTGCTCTGGTGCCAGGCAGGAGAGCCAGACTAGATATCACTTTGAAACACCTCACTGTCTGTTTTATATGTCATTCTTTCTTTTGCTTAATAAATGAAAGGTTTTTCGTTATCGTTTGCACACAGAAAGTTCAGGAAGGGGGTATGCTGTTAAATCGGTTCACCCAAAAATTTCATAATTTACAGTACACACTAATCTCACATGACAAAGCACTTTATTTAAGTGTACCTCAAAACGTAGTTTTAACGCTTAAACACATATTTTGGGTCTTTAGTGACCCAGGACGTCATTCACTACCCTCCTCGTCTCCTCCTCAGTCATTTTTTAAAGTTAGACATCAACCTTCTTAGTATTCCTCAATCAATTCAATATAACAAGAAAACATATTTAAAATGAATGACTATTTTCCCATGATTTATTTTTCTGTGTAAAAATTTTACAATATTTACTTTAACAACCTAAGGTCTGTAACAGCGTAAGTATTTTTTTTTATGCACGATAATAATTGAATATTTGATGACTGAATAAATGCAATTCACCTTTATTTCCCAAGGTGTCGGTGTCTGATACACAATAATGAAGTGACCTTTCACTCATAATCACAGCAGGCAGAAAACAAACGAATAGGAAATATCATCAGCATAACTTGAAATGGCTCAGTGATTTAAATAGGCGTTGACTTAATAGTTCCAAAAAGGACAAAAACACCCATAAAAGTGCAATTGAAGATGTGAACTTTATTAAATAAGTCCAAGTTTTCTGAACCCATATTAAAGGGATATTCCACTCTTTTTTGGAAATAGGCTCATTTTACCACTCCCCTAGAGTAAAACAGTTGGGTTTTACCGTTTTCGAATGTATTCAGACGATTTTTTTTTTAATATTTAAAAGAATATCAGTAACCAGACCCGTTTCTGATCTCATTAACTTCCATAGTATATTTTTCCATATTAGAGTCTGGTTACTGAAATTCTTCTAAATATCAGAAAATCGGCTGAATGGATTTGAAAACGGTACAACTCAACTGTTTACCTTTGGCGGAGTGGTAAAATGAGCCCATTTCCAAAAAAAAAAAAAAGTGGACTATCCCTTTAAGGCCCGTTCACACCAAGGACGATAACGATAAAAATAAAATATAGTTCTAAAAATAGTTCTACTCTTACTCAAATAAGTACTGAGTAACATTAAACAGCTACATGTACTTACTATAGAGTTGTGGTTAGGGTATGGTTTGGGGATAGTTGTAATTATGCATAATTTACGGTTATTATAGCGTAGTAATGTGTAACTTCGTGTAACACGAGTCTACAACTATAACAATAACAGCAGAAACGATCCAGAATGATTTTTTTTTCCAGCAGAGGAACGATAAAAACACTGACAGCCAATCAGAATCAGAAGGCTGGGCATTGAAACCGTCAGATGACAAAACTATAATAAACAGAATGATATCGTCCATCGCTGTGGACGCTAATGGAGTTATCGTTCTCATTCTTGGTGTGAACGGAGTTTTAAACCCAAATACAATAACAATTTGGCACATCTACTGTAAGTTTTAACCACCTTGACACCAAATCACAGTGAATATATAAATATAATGTAATGCGTCAAATTGCAATGGTGAAGAGGAAGTGAATTTGGGAGCCATGCTTGAGCGGAAGATTTAAAATTCTTCAAAAACGTCTCCTTTTGTGTTCTTTGGAAGAAAGAAAGTAATGCAGGTTTGTGATGAGTTATACAGTTATTCTTAAACCTGTATCGAAGACCAAAATGCTCTATTTGATTATTATTATATAGCAATACCAAAGCAGTAAAAATGAGTCAGACTTTGTAAAACTCCAGCTAGAGTTCGTCCCATTGGGGGTCGTTCACCGGCGTTGGTCTCTATCTCTTCCGTTTGCATCCTACGGATCTTGGCCTCCACAGAAACTGGATAAACATTGCATTGACATCAGACACATATTTCCACTCCTGACAAATCCATCTGACTAATAGCCCTAGCCCATGGGGCGGTTTATATGCTATGTGGAAAACACCTTGTCAATGCATCGGCGTATTACTTACTGTCAATGACCTCTTTCTCGAGAGATGGGTGTCGATGGCCAGAAAGCGTTGAGAGATGACGTTTCCAAATCATTGAACGATACGCATATACGAGTTATGTCGAACTGGCTTGGTTTGGGGGCGGACCTTTATGGTTATTCATTCATTTTTGGTTTCGTATGAATTTGTCAAAGTGTAAAATAGTCACATTTTCTCATGAGCTCGGGTTATGTGTTCATAAACAAAACCACACCTATACATTTTCATATATAGCTGCAAAACTATTTGACTAATTATTTTCATTTTATGATATAAAAGCAACAATGTTTCATAATATTGTAAGTTCTCTCAGACAGAGAGATAGATCGAATCTCAATCCGCAGCATTAATGAAGCTCTGCGAGTGTTTTCAGCTCTGCTAGCATGTGAATTAGCATCCATCTCCGATTACTCAGATATAGAGATTGGACATTGTGACACACTATACACAGTCGTGAGATTCACAAGTTCTAGTGAAACTGGATACAAAATGAATGTGAAGGTTAATTGGGAAGATTATATCAACAGGTGTGTGTTCAATCTAGGGCTGAAACACACCTGTAAAGGTCTTAGTCGTCATTATATGTGCTCATACATATGAAATGGCAACATGAGGAGCACAGCACGGCACACACTGACCCAGTGAACTATTATCCATATGTCTTTAATAATAAACGGAGATGTATTTGAGGTTTGTTTTTACGCCACTGTTTTTTAAATGTCTCTAGAGTTATAATGTTTTGCACAGACAAAAACAAATGTGGCCAAATCAACTAAAATTTGCATAACGTGGCTAAATTAACTGGTTTATTTTTATATATAAAAATATTACTATGATTGAATCTTCATTAGGTTACACCAATGAAAGACATTTTTAAGGGTCAGATAGGGAAGAAATAGATCCTTTAACTCAACAAGAAATCAAAATGTCGCCTATCTGCAATGCATCTTCAGTGTTTTTGACATGAAGTGCCATTTTTAATCTGTCTTGTTCATGTGAGTGTCACATACTTCCTCATTTTTAAATATTGCTCGCGGCCATCTCATTTATATACGCTATATTATTCTGGCTGGAGAGACATACAGTAGACACACACACACACACACACACACAAACACACACATAAGTGATATGCTTTAACTTTCACTAGTCCAGTGGGTTTAGCGGTTTATATTATTTTATCCACACTGCACGGATGAAGCTTCAGAGTTGGCTTCTCTACCGCTCATAACTATATTAAAACAGACTTTGAGAAAATATTCCTGCAAGAGTAGATTGGTACAGATGAGTGAAGGAATTCAACATATCTCCCACAAATTCAGTAACCTAAAACTGTTTCATGTGGCATTTTATTGAAATTCACAACATCTGATTAAATTTGGTCAATGAAAGAAAATGTAATTGACAAAAAAGAAAATAATAATGAAAAATATTGACAATATTGATCAGTAACGATTTGTTTCTTATCTTACAGTATATATATATATATATATATATATATATATATATATATATATATTTAAACTATATCATATATGTATAATATATATATATACTATATATATAGTACAGTGAACTCATTGTCATGTTCAAGAAACCACTTTGAAATGATTCGAGCTTTGTGACATGGTGCATTATCCTGGAAGTAGCCATCAGAGGATGGGGACATGGTGGCCATAAAGAGATGGACATGGTCAGAAACAATGCTCAGGTAGACCGTGGCATTTAAATGATGCCCAATTGGCACTAAGGGGCCTAAAGTGTGCCAAGAAAAACATCCCCCACACCATTACACCACCACCACCAGCCTGCACAGTGGTAACAAGGCATGATGGATCCATGTTCTCATTCTGTTTACGCCAAACTCTGACTCTACCATCTGAATGTCTCAACAGAAATCGAGACTCATCAGACCAGGCAACATTTTTACAGTCTTCAACTGTCCAATTTTGATGAGCTCTTGCAAATTGTCGCCTCTTTTTCCTATTTGTAGTGGAGATGAGTGGTACCCGGTGGGGTCGTAGCCCATCCGCTTCAAGGTTGTGTGTGTTGTGGCTTCACAAATGCTTTGCTGCAACGAGTGGTTACTTCAGTCAAAGTTGCTCTTCTATCAGCTTGAATCAGTCGGCCCATTCTCCTCTGACCTCTAGCATCAACAAGGCATTTTGGCCCACAGGACTGCCGCATACTGGATGTTCTTCCCTTTTCACACCATTCTTTGTAAACCCTAGAAATGGTTGTGTGTGAAAATCCCAGTAACTGAGCAGATTGTGAAATACTCAGACACCAACAACCATGCCACGCTCAAAATTGCTTAAATCACCTTTCTTTCCCATTCTGACATTCAGTTTGGAGTTCAGGAGATTGTCTTGACCAGGACCACACCCCTAAATGCATTGAAGCAACTGCCATGTGATTGGTTGATTAGATAATTGAATTAATGAGAAACTGAACAGTTGTTCCTAATAATCCTTTAGGTGAGTCTACGTACACAATATATTTTAATATTTATATATTTAAACACTTGCATACGTTTTAAATATTTTTTTTATTTATACATTTTACTAGATATTTCTAATGTTACATGTATAATTGCTAGGCTGAACAAATTATATTTTTATATATTTATATATATTTTAACATTTGTTATTTTTGTGCAGAGTGAGACTGAATAAACTAATTCTTCTCTCTCTTGTCTTTGATTTTTGGTTTTCTCTTTCTCTGTAAACTAATAAATGTTTGACCTGTAAACCATTTCGTTTGTCGAGGTGTCGTCGAAAGCGTAATCGAAGCGAAACGTCTGGTTCTCCAGGTATCTGGTTAAATCCACTTTCTGCTTGGGCTCGTGGACCATGACCACGTCTTTACTGGGGATGGTGATGACGTCCAGATCCTTCATGGTCAGCTCTGAAAGTGGACAGATGATGTGGCGTATCATAAACAGCACTAGACACTCTCAGCATGAACATATGGTGGAATAAAAAGATTTCATCACCACCTTTCTTGTTCAGTGGACGTGTCCTCACACACACGCATATCCTGTGGTCCTCAATCTATACATAATTGAGAAAATGAAGAGTTCAGATGCAAAAGCCTCTAAGTGCCATTTGAAATTTTCTTCTAGAATGATCTTTTTTATCAAGCTTGTATATTTAAGTTCAGTGATTTCACTTAAATGGCAATGATAATTACCTATTAATTGTTATTTAACTGAAATTACTGAACTTAAATATACAAGTTTGATAAATCATCATTAAAGAAGAAAATTTCAAATGGCATTTAGAGGCTTTTGCATCTGAACTCTTCAAATATACATAATATTACATATTATAATACCATGCAATACTGTTGCAATCATGTGGAAATGAAATGACATAATAAGTGAGACGAGTGGTAATGATTCACCAGATCGTCAGTGGTCAGCGGTCTGTAGTCCAAACTCGCTCTGAAGTCTCGGATCATGCACATTATTTCATAATTAGGGGTTATGGCCTCGACATCCTGTGTAATAAAAAACTCACAGTTAATATTGTAAGAGTTTTTTACTTTCTTGAGATGTTTAAGTCATGTCAATAGTCGAGACATTTTTTTTTCAGTATGCATATATCGTTATTATATTAATTTCAGTACAAGTTAGTGCACTGTGTATAATTATTTTATATATATATATATATATATAAATACAAGCATCATGCTTGTATATATTTAAGAAATATTTTCATGTATATACTGTATAGATTTATATATAATTTATATTATATTAAATATAAATATTTTATATATAAATAATATTTTTTTCTTAAATATACATGCATGTGTGGTGTATTTATATATATACAAAATAATTATACACAGTGCACCCACATATATTATGTAAACACAAACGTCTTTTTTGGATGTGATTAATCGCGATTAATCGTTTGACAGCACTAATATATATATATATATATATATATGAAGAGTTCAGATGCAAAAGCCTCTAAATGCCATTTGAAATTTTCTTCTTGAATGATGATTTTATCAAAACTTGTATATTTAAGTTCAGTAATTTCACTTAAATAACAATTAATAGGTAATTATCATTGCCATTTAAGTGAAAATCACTGAACTTATATATACAAGCTTGATAAAAATTATCATTCTAGAAGAAAATTTCAAATGGCACTTAGAGGCTTTTGCATCTGAACTCTTCATATTGGTTTTAAGTCTTAATTAACTATAATAAAGCAATATAAAAAAGCAACATAAGCAATTTGTAAAGCTAGCAATATTCATAGAACAAAAAAAATATTTTATATATTTTAACATGCAATAAGCAAGATACACAATATATTTCTAAACATATAACAATACAATGTTATCATAATATTCATTAGACAATAAAACATACCACAAGATTTAAATAAATATAACGTTCCCATTTTTCAAACCTTGTCAGTACACAGAAACAGTACGCCAGTGTTTTATCACCTGTGCTCTTTTCTCTCTCAGCTCCTGCTGCTGCAATCGTCTCCTCTCCCGCTTCTCCTGAAGCTTCTCCACTTCCTTCACACAGTTGGACTTCCTGCGAGCTGAAAACACACACAGACCTCAATGCAAACAGACATCAATGTTTAACAAATCAGCTAAACCTGATTCGCTCGTGTAATAAGCATTTTATTTGACATAATTCAGTGTGAATTAGTTTGTGTTAAAGTGTTTGAGTGAATCCCAACAATGGCATCATGAGGGGTCATCTCTGAAACAACAACTCTAAATGCGGCTTTTGTTTTGGTGTGACGGCAGACAACAGCCGTTTGTGACGACGCTGAGAGCCCTTCAGCTTCTCCATCACTGCTGGAGTCTCTTCATACACTCACAGATCAGAGATTACACACCCATAAAACAATTATTCATAAAACATCTCAACAATAATTACACTACTGTTTAAATGTGTTTTTTGAAATAAGTCTCTTCTGCTCACTAAGGCTGCATTTGATCAAAAACAGGAAAAAATAATTGCTTTCTCTTTGAATTTTTTTGGTTTGTTTTTTTAATGTAATTTCAATCATGACAACTCTCTGAATAGTTTTAGCATGTTATTGACTATGGCAGTGTTCATGTATTTGGTCTTGGTGGACTAGATCTGCTACGCTGCTGCTGTTGATTATTGCTGCTACAGAGCAAGTATGGACTTACTTCTGCTAATAGATACACAGACACACTGTGGTGAGCATATAAGATATGATATATATATATATATATAAATCCCACAGCAGATCTAGGCAGGTGGAGATGGGGGAGGTGAGGGCCAGCTTACTACAACAAACAATGAACCAGACTATCTCATTGGCTGGCAGATCAGCGGAGGCCAATCAGTGAGTTTCATGACTGAACTAGATATTTATTCCTGTGAATGACATGATCACATGATCCTTCAGAAATCACTCTAATATGATGATTTCCTGCTCAAGAAACATTTCTGTTGAAAACAGTTGTGCTACTTAATATTTTTGATGGATTAAATGCGTTCTTGCTGAATAAGTGTTGATTTCTGTGTGGTACCGTTCTGCTGCTGCTGTAGGGTTTGGTGCTGTATCGGCGGAGGCGGAGCGGGCGCTGGTGGAGGAGGTTCGATCTGTTGGCTCGGCCGTGCTCGAGTCGTACCTACGGAGACTGAATAATGGAGATCACATCATCACAGACCACGAAAACACCAGACCTTTAGACACACACGCTCTTCTTTAGCATTGTTTCAAGTTATCAAAACTGAAATAACGCAAACAGAAATTTGGGAATGATGTTGTGATAAAAAAGTTGTACAAATGAAAACTATTTTTTTACATCAAAGACATCAGTGTGGATTTGAACGCTTTACCTTTATTATACACTTTAACCCATCCATGACGAGAACAACTTGTAAGCATAATTATATATATATTTGTCTCTTATTAAAAATACTTTTCTAAATATTAGATGAAAAACTTCAAACTTAAACTTCAAATAAAAATTTGAAATGTTGGCTTGGCAGCTAACTGCCATAAAATACTAAAATTACACAAAAATAAAATTAAAATAAAGATAAATTAAAGCTAAACAGAAATATATTAAAAATATTTTATATAAACTAATAAAGCACAATTTTATCTAAAATTAAAAAGAAAAGAAAAAAATTAGGGCTGTGCAAAGATTAATCGCATCCAAAATAAAAGTTTGTGTTTACATAAAATATGTGTATATATATATGCATGCATGCATGTATATATTTAAGAATTATTTGCATGTATAAATACATAATCTGTATTATATATAAATATGAATAACACATTTTCTTAAATATATACATGCATGTGTGTGTATCTATAAATACAAAATAATTATACACAGCACACACAAATATATTATGTAAACACAAACTTTTATTTTGGACGCGATTAATTGCAATTAATCTTTGCACAGCCCTAAAAAAAAGTGTTTTATAATCCCATGCAACAAATTTAATATGTTAAAACATACTGTTGAAATCAATATCTGCTAAAATCAATAAAATTTGAGACTAAATTTGTAATAGTACTAGTTTGTGATTTTTAATAAATTCATACCTCGATTATCCCTTGCAGGAGTTTCATTTTTCGGTGGTGCTGCAGTTCGGCGATTCTACAAAAGATGAATCAAGAAAATAAACATGTTTTGAAAAGTCCAGTCTGCGATCTAGCTACACAATAAAATCATTCACAGTGAATTCATGCCACATTATAGCTTTGTGTCGACAGTTATCTTCTAGACTACTGTGACAGTCTACTAAATGGAAAAAAAATTGTTTGTACTTGACTAATAATTACAAACTACAACTGGTTAACATCTTCCTATAATTATTCATGCATATTTCATTAAATTATTCATGCACAACAAGAGCTTATGGGTGATCTCCCAATGTAGGATGACAATGCAAGTTACTTTGTTTAACGACGGGAATTTACCCAGCCTTTGAACGTAAAAACTGAAAACAGTTTGTGTTTTATGACTTTATGACTCCAGTTATAAAAGGCGAGTGCACTACAATTATCTGTCCACCGCTGTACTAATTTCTCTTCTTGGTTACGAGCAGTGTTGGGTGTAACTAATTACTAAGTAATTAGTTACTGTAATTTAATTACTTTTCCCTTGAAAATGTAAAGTAAGGGATTACTCTTAATTTATCTGTAATTTAATTACAGTTACTTCTGATGTAATTGAGGTATATTATACTGTGTATAGATGTCTAAATCGTACGACCGCACTCGTACAAATTCGTATGAATTATTGTAAAATATGTATGAAAAAAAGTGTGAAATGTCATGAGATCAGACATAAAACAATAGTGGGTTTAACATCAAAATGTACTGTCTGATGCTAAAAAGTATGTTTTTATAATGTAACCTTCTCCTCCGTGGTCAGTTTAAGGATAATTCATGCAATTGTATAGTGTTTATTTGAAAGAATTAACAGATTCATGTCTATCATTGTATTATTCAGCTGGTTGAGATTGATATGGGATTTTGAAAGTAATTAGTAATTAAATACTTTTTAGAGAGAGTAATTAGTACAGTAATCTAATTACACTGTTGAAGAGGTAATTAGTAACTAGTAATTAATTACTTTTTTAGAGTAACTTACCCAACACTGGTTACGAGTCGACTATTATGGTGCAGCGAAATGGACACCAACCTTGTTTTGGGGGATCTTGTTGATTTTGACGGCACTCGACACGGGTGGCGGAGGGGTTTCAGGACTTTGTGGGATTTCTTCTTCAGGTGCAATATCTGGATTTAGTGCAAATATGCTTTCCAGATCGATCTGTTTACAGGGAAAGAGAGTATGAGCATGAGGCAGACGGTTTTAAAAAACACTTTCCTCACAGCACATGAGCACTTATGATGCACGTTCATGACTCTCCTATTCGAACTCGTTCATCACAATGAACAAATCTTTTCCTGAGTCAACTTGTTCATTTCGATCGTTGAATGAACCAAATGACGCGAAAAAAGATTCGTTAATTTTGATGAACGAGTTCGAACAGGAGAGTCACGAACGCACATCACAGAACAGAGCAAGGCGAACATGAGGTTATAAAACTTAAACTTTGTTATTTATTTATTAAATGAGCGATCGTTTCGCTTGATACGACCCTTATTCATCGCCTGGAATCGTTTAAAGCCCTTTGAACAGTTTGCAGTTTGCACTGAAATTGTCTTTTGGACCTTTGAAGTCCATTATATGGAGAAAAAATGCTGGAATGTTTTCATCAAAAACCTTAATTTCTTTTCGACTGAAGAAAGAAAGACATGGACGTCTTGGATGACATGGGGGTGAGTAAATTATCAGCAAAGTTTTTTTATGTGATCTTTTTTAAGAGATCAACAGGTGAGTAAGTGCATCATTCAAACGATCTAATTTAGACATTTATTTGCTTAACACTGATCAACGCACATAAGTTGCATAATATCATATCGTTTTTGCGTTTGACACATCATAACCAGTATTAGCAGCATCACAGACACAGTCTTAGAACCGAATCCGATACATGCGATGACGCATACTATTACACTATTTACATTCACGCAAGACACCACCGACTGTGTTTATGTGAATACTCACCAAGACGGACATTTTGACAATTTTGTGTGTATTTCGCAAAGACCCGCCCCCTTCAGTTACTGTTGCTATGTCCAACAAGCTACGCTGCTCTCACGACGTGAAAAATACATCGCAGAGCAGAGAGGAGGCTGAAAACGCCCTGACAGACAGGACAGACCAGGTTACTTTTGATATGAAACAAAGTCTCAACTTTCAAATTTGGTCATTTTTAAAAAAATGTAAACAATAATTACAGTTTTGTGGCTCTTTAATGTGTCTGACCGATCGCTGTAGTGCCTAATTTAAAGCATCATATAAACATGAATGAAGGAATGTTATTTTAACCGAGGAAATGGCTGAAACGAACCATGGTTGATTAATCAGTTATCACCCAGTGTGGTCCTACCTAGTTATCGTTATTGGTAAAATCCACTATCGGTCGACCTTTAGACAGGAACCCACAGATAAAACATGACAGTAATCCAAACGGGACCAAATAAAGGCATTAATGACCTTCTCTAAATCTTTTATTGACAGAATTTTTTTAAGCAGTAGACATGATTTGGAAAAAAATACTCTTAACCACAGCATTGATCTGTTTGTCGAATTTCAGTTCTAGTTCAAACACAATTCCTTATTTGGTCATCATGACAATAGGCTGACCATGGACCTAAATGAGTAACAATATAGCATCTTCTGACCATCATCATGGCATCATAATCTCTGTTTTTCTGTGGTTTAACTAAACCAAATTGCGAGCCATCCTGCTCTTAACCTCATCCAGACATGCCAAAAGTGAGTTAGAAACACAATTTTCTCCTGATTTTAAAGGGAGATTATTTTGTTTCAGTTTCAGACAAGGCTTAAGCTACACCCAGACTAAAGTAACTTGCACTGATATATCCTAAAACATGTCAGTGCCATTGTTTTGTCTCAAGATGCACATCGGTAATGCTTTTCCAAAGGCATGTTTATAAAAGCTACTTAAATGTCCTAATTGAACTAAGGCCTAATCCTGGTTTAAACTAAGCCCTGTCTATGAATCTTTAACCTCTATTAATTCTCCTGAGTTATGAAAGAGCAACATGTGAAGGATAAAAGCCCCGTCTTTGTTTTTTATGCACAAATTAATGCACATGATAAACCTGCAAGGTATTTAAGGCAGAGATGCAAAAGCTGCTTTAGAATAAATCTCCATTGATACAGACACATCAATATTATATATGTGTATGAGAGATGTACAACTACAGTCATTTTAAAAACATAAGGCTCATGAAAGCAAGAATGGTGAGTCTGCTGGAATCATTCAAGCTTTTGTCTTTAGAGCATTATGCCAACATGATGGACATATTAAATATGAATATCAGTAATTCACCTCTTTGCCTTTTGTGTCTCCGTTTTCAATCCACTCCACCGTCACACTTTCATTGTCTTCATTCAGTGACGTAACCATGGCCTGGTGTATTCTGCCTGAAATAGATAACAAAACAATGGTTTACTGCAAAGATCTGCAGCCTGGTGATAACACTACAAACTAGTGCTGTCAAACCGATTATTCACCATTAATTGCATCTAACATAAAAGTTTGTAAATATATGACACACACACAATATATATATATATAGAGAGAGAGAGAGAGAGAGAGAGAGAGAGAGAGAGAGAGAGAGAGAGAGAGAGAGAGAGAGAGAGAGAGAGAGAGAGAGAGAGAGAGAGAGATAGAGAGAGAGAGGGAGAAAATGGGCACATCACAAGTTATGAAAGGAACATAAGTATGGTCAGCTTTGTGATAATGACCAGCTAATTGCACATTATACAATATTACTTAAAAGACTACTTAATAAATAGACAGGAAGATAAAAGTTGAAGAATAAACTTAACTAACAACCAAATTGTAGGGTTCACACTTGCTTTCCACACAACTTTACTGTATGGCCGCACTACTCACCAGCTATAACATTTAAGCAAAGGCTAATGCTTTATTTCATGTACATTAAAGAGAGGGAAAAATGGCTGCAATTGTACATTATAGGAATGACAATAAACTAAATACTAATAATAAACTAAAACAGCAGAACAAAAACGAGTGTTGCAGGCGATGTCTCTGGGCGTCTTCCTCACAGGGAGGATGCTAAGAGACTGCAAATACCCAGTGCGCGTATCTGATTGGCTGAACTGCACACATTAGCAAGTAAGCGCAAGAGCCATGGCATGTATCTCAATCATACATGGCTCTGTCTGGTAAGCGCCTGTCAGTCAGCGAACAGCGAATCGTTCTGTTGACGTTGTGGCTTACGTAGATTTCTGCGCCTAGACGCTCTAAAAAGGTTACCAAGCAACACCAGGAGGACTTCATTAATAATTATGAGTCAAACCTAAGCCATAGTAGAATTAGTAAATTCGCTAAAGGGTTAGCAGGAGCATGCATCCCAAAAACATGCAATACAACGGCGTGCCAAGGACACAAGGTATTGGATATGTATGCATTGGTCTGTATCGATCCTCTCCCTTCGTTTGCACTAGCTGTCTTGTGTTTAACTGCTTTACCGGGTGTTAAACAAAGATGATGCGCCGACAAACTGCATCTTCTCAGCCTGATAAACGAGCGGCTGCTGGGTGTGACTCACCATCACTGCGCTTGATCTCCACATAAATGCCGATCTGGATCTTCCCGAAGAGAGCTGCCATGCCTCATGTGTGTGCCAGGATCTGTATGGCTATATTTGAGCGGGTTTCACGGGAGAAGTTGTTCAGCAGCGCAAAAACCGGGAGGAGGTCAGGAGAGAGACGGACTAACGCGCATGCGCATAGCGCACACACACCCATCACAGAACGTCACATCAACCTCTTTTGTCTAGTTGCAGTGGACACAATCGTTTTTTTTAATGTTGTTTCTTTTTCTTTTTTCTTAAGAAAAAATGTGTACATCTTCAATAAAATTATAGTCCAACATTTTAGTTCGAAAATGTATTTTATTTAATATGTTGTATTTTTAGCGGATTTTATGGTAATAAATTACTGTATATTTGAAGAGTTCAGATGCAAAAGCCTCTAAATGCCATTTGAAATTTTCATCTTTAATGGTGATTTTTATCAAACTTGTATATTTAAGTTCAGTAATTTCACTTAAATAACAATTAATAGGTAATTATCATTGCCATTTAAGTGAAATTACTGAACTTAAATATACAAGTTTGATAAAAATTATCATTAAAGAAGAAAATTTTAAATGGCATTTAGAGGCTTTTGCATCTGAACTCTTCATTTATACAGTAGTTATAATCTATAATCATGGACCTGAAAATGATAATTTTTTTTAAAGAATATACATGGCAGATTATTGCTGAAATGTGAAAAAACAAAACTTGAAGAAAGTTATACAATTAAATGCACAAAAATTACAAACTTAAATTTTATATGAAATATATACTTTTCAAAACACGTTTTACTCTAAAACCGTGAGAAAATCAAAGCCATTAATCTAAATAAGTGGTGTTGATATCTTTAAAAAAATAGCTTTTAGTAAGATTTTGTTTGTGCGCAGTAACAAACATTTTCCAATAGATTTTTTTTTCACACACCAAGTGCTAAAACCTTTACCAAGTTTTGAGCCAAGAATTAAATTTAAAAAATGTATACGTCGAATTTGTTAACCAAAGGGTTAACATATAAATAATAAATAAACATTCTTCCTCAGCTTTGATTGTTTAATATCTTGAAGTACAATGTTCAAACACTCCTACCTGAATTGCTTCCATTGTTCCAAGTTATTTATAGACCATTTAAAACCTTAATAAATCATATTCAGTCTGTCAGAAATACACATGATGGCAGCAAAGAGCTCTGAAAGAGTCTGTATTATGGGAACTTAAACAGTTCGAGAATGAGTGATTGTTTAAATGATTGTTTTAAATCACTTATGAACCATAAGTAAACTACAATGATGTATTTAACAATAATCGATCAAATAAACATCTATGGATTCAGTCGGCTAACATTTACTACCATTAATCTTTAATGTTAATATACCCAGAATATGAAGGCATCACGCTAGATTGAATGTTGTGTCTTACCATACAGAATCAAATGTTTTGTTGAAATGTTCATATGATTAAATACAGTTTTTTTTTTTAAAATATGGCTTTTGTTTTCAGATTGTGGACCAAAACTGAATAACTATTCATTGTGCATGGTCAGAAAATTAAATCCCAAAGAGCCAGTGCTGGGTAGATTGCTACAAAAATTATAGTGAGTTACTGATTCAGTTACTGTAGTTAGTAACGTAATTGCATTTAAATTATGTACCATTGCAATACCATTGCATTTAAAGTAATATAATCTGACCACTTCTTTTAGATTACTTTTGACCTAATTTGTTTATCACATTGATTAAATTAGGATTATCTTGTACCATATTGACAATATATTCCATTCTTTGTCAACAACAACATGAAGTGTGTTAAATATTTTAAATATCTTTTAAGTGCGTATAAAAATTTGAAATAAAAATAACCGTAAAACAAAAACAATCAAAATAAAACACTAAAAATGATTTTAAAAATATTTTATTTGTTAACCTGTGCATGTCATGTGACCATAATATCAGAGAACCGTGAACTTAATTTAATTATTTATTATTATTAGCATTATTTTTGACCTACTTATTAACTTGAAATCTCAGGGTCATCATTAAGTAAATATATTGGGTCAAAGAAATTCAGCTGACAAAATTTGGGAAATCCCTGCAATGACATGAATGTGTAAATTTTATCGTGTTTGAAAGACAAAAGCCTTCCAAAGACAGTAATACATGCTTAAATGACTCACAGTGATACAGTAATTCATAACATAATAATTCATGTGATTGGCAGAAGTACGGTAGATATGCAGTGTTACAATGTTAAGAAAACTCTTCTTAAAAGTGAAATGCTTTGTGTAAATCCAGTGATCAAAATGCTTTTCAGTGGCTGGTCTGTGTGAGCAATATCAAAAACCTGAACATATATATATACACCAACGGTTTTTAGAAAGAAAGAAAAAATTAAAAGAACACTCTAAAAAATGCTGGGTTGTTTTAACCCAACAGTGGGTCAAATATGGACAAACTCAAACATTGGGTTAAAAAAATTAATACAAAAAAAAAGTAACCCAATGGCTTGGTTTGTCCATTTTGGACCCAAACTTGGGTTAAAACAACACATTTTTAAAGTGAAGTAGAAGGGACAATAGTCAATGAATTATGAATAATTTACTGCCAATGTGAGAATAACATGTAATCAATAAAAAATGACTAACTTTAGTCAGATTACGAGTATTTTAAAACTATCTAATAACAAGTACATCTGATTATGTAATCCAGATGACATGTAATCAGTTACTACCCTGCACTGGAAAGAGCCCAGTTGTAGTATTTCCCCAATATAATGATTGCCTGTATCTATACATTACTGTTTAATAAGTTTGCCTCCCACTAGCAGTGTGTTCAACATGCAGGTCAAATAACCCCAGTGTGAATGTAATGTCTTTATTGACAAGAATTTGAGTTTCCAGTTTAGTTACAGTGATTTTTTTTAAAACTGAAACGAGTCTACGTTATTGTGCAAAAACAAAAATAGAAATACAGCAGCAACATTTCCTACAGCAGAGCTGACTCTAAAATCTGAGGACACAACGAACAACAATAATAATACAAAGCACTGTTCACCACCATTCCCACATGCTGATTTAGCTCACAGACGTTTAATACTGTACGAAAATGTGTTCAAAAGATATCGTGTAAACTATACAACGGTCCGCCATCCTTCATTTGATTGTCAGTAGGAAGTGAATCTAAAGGCGCTTTTCCACTACACAGTACCAGCTCGAGTCGACTCGCCTTTGTTTGCTTTTCCACTGTGTAAAATAGAGCCCGACCGATAAAGGATTTTGAAGGCCAATACCGATACAAATATTTCTTGGTTTTAAAATCCGATATATCGGCCGATATTTTTTTTACATTTTTTTATTTCAGAAACGCGCAACAAAACATTAACAGATTTCCCTAACTTTATACAACTTATTTGACAGCAGCAAAACTGGACATGATGGTCACTAATTTTGTCATGCTTATTTGAGTTAAGAGAACTGATGGGGATGTTCTTTTAATTGTTATTCAAGCAATGTATGTGTCGTGACCAACTCAACGAGTGTTGCCAACAGGAACGCTGTAGAGTGCCCTCTGGTGGACAAACTATACAACTCCAACACTCATGACATGGTTCAAGCATGTTTCGTCCGTTTTTATTTTATTTTTGAAATATTCATTTATCGGCCATTATAACTGCCGATAACGATAGTTTGGAAAATGCCTAATATCTGCCGATATATCGGTCTGGCTCTAGTGTAAAAGTTGTACCTGTACCTAGCCTGGCATGCCAGACCTACATCAAGATGTTAGGTCTGGGAACTCATCATTGACAGGGCTCAATCGGTTAAACGGTTGTCTTTCAAATTCTCTCGGCACGCAATTAGATAGCGCTACAAAGCAGAGCAACGAAGAAGGTAAGTCCCATGCGTTTTTCCACCAGCGTAGCAAGTTGATATATTAAACTTTTACCGTATCCAGCTGGCAAAACTTCGAACACATCTTTTTTTTAATAACGACTCAAGTGCCGTTCTTTGTTCCTTTTTCAAAGAAAAGCTTAAGCTGCAAATCATCCACAGTAGCGGTCAAAGCCGAATCGAAAGACAGCTGTTCACCAGCAGCAGCCATTCTTTGTAGCAGTGAACCGTCGCAACTCTGTCATCATTATGTGAAGCCCGCCCGCCAACTCTATACACGATGTGATTGGCCTGACCAGAGTTTGGTTTTTCCAGCTAAAACGTCTATGGAGGGTTGCTAGACCACACTGGCTGCGAAATCATTTTTGCTGCCGATAGGGTGCGTCTAGATTTCTAGGCTAACCTGTACCTGCTTTCTGGTACTTTTATTAGTATCACCTTCGGCGAGGTTCTTAACGAACTAAGGCCATGTGTCCACCAAAGCATTTTTTGTCAGCTGAAAACGCCAGACGCTCTGCTGAAAATGCCGCGCTTTGGCCGCTTGAGAGCGTTCTGGCAGCGCAGCGTTTTTTTCAGTTGAGACGTTTCGTTGCTATGATACAGAATATCCGCAGCGCAGTTTACTTGTAACGGATTTCGCAGATAATAATTGTTTTATTCAAAAAAAATATTTTTCATCCATTTTGTTCGGTTAGCTCTGCTGTTAGATGTCGTTGTACAGAACGGGCTGTTGTGACAGTTGGTCAGTGTGGATTAGTCCCGCCCCTCCTCCACTGTGATTGGACGGCTGGGTAAAAAGTGACAGTGATGAGCACTGCATTTTATCCAAAGTTGAATATTTTTCAACTCTCGACGACCAGTAAAAAATGCTGGGCGGCCGGCGCTTCAGCGTGAAAAAAAACGCTCAGCGCCTCATTACGCTCATGACGTTTAAAAAACGCGGAGCTCCCATTGTAAATTATTGAAAGCGTACGCCAGGCGCGTGGAAAAAGCTTTGGTGGACACATGGCCTAAAGGCTAATTTATACTTCTGAGTAGGGTGCACACAGTAGGTACGGCGTAGCATACACACAGTATACCATACCGCGTACCCTTCGCGTAGCCTGATGCGCACCTCCTCAAAAATGTAACTACACGTCGCGATGACGCGGGGCGCAAGATCTGTGATTGGTCGGCTTGGTAGCATCGCATTTCCTCCTACGCATTTCCGCACGTAACATCTCACGCATTTCCGCATGTACCATCTCCTCCGACGTCTTCTCTCGTCTCTGCCTTTTAGTTTTCGTAATTTCACTAAAATTAACTGTTTTTCCACCTCAATAAGCTCCAACTCCAACATGATCCGCTCTCTTTCAGTCGCCATTGCTTGTAGTAACCTAGCCGCGACGAATCTAAACACAGTGGAACATAAAAACCCTCCGCCGCCAACTAGTGTTTCGGAGCAGTACTGCAGAGGTATAAATGCTTAAGCCAGTGTCGCCTAAGTGCGTAGCCTACACCGTACACTACGGCGTACTCTTGACGCAGAAGTATAAATTGGCCTTAAGACGAACTAAGTCGGTACTAAAATGTGACGTGAAAACAATGCCAACTGCTGATTGGTCAGAGAGAATCGTCACCATTCACTCCGCCATCATTGCACGTGCCAGATGGAGTATCCAGAATATCCCCGCCCTTTTTAAATAGTTTGGCCAGAGAATGTTTCTAAACTTACTACTATTATTATTATGGCAACTCGGAAGAATACGCTGTGGTCAAACGAGGAGGTGCAGACTTTCCTTTGTTTGGTTGCCGAAGAGAGGATCCAGCGAGAGCTTGATGGGGCAACGAGGAACGAAAGGCGCCGATATGACGACCGGGTACTATTTATGGCGGTACTGTCTGCAATGGAAAACGGAGCGAAAAGCTAGCAGAGTTGAGTCAAGTCGAGCTGGTACTGGTAATGGAATAGCGCTCTAATTTCACAGGAGACTCTAGACCATGTGAAGAAACATGTTTTACTGTAGAATTAAACAGATTTAGGATTTTTCATTGAGGGTGTCCGTGTATCTGGATCACTTCAGTGTTTCATGCAGACTTTCCCTGACGCGTCGACCGTGAGAAGCGCTCACGTTTCGGCTTTGACTCGAGATGTGTGTACGGTCTTCACCACCTTGGCGGAGCTTTTAGTGTCCGCTTCAGAGCTCTCTGAGAGAGTGTCTTTGGAGCCGTTCTTCTTCTGAAAGGAATAACAAAAATACAGGCACACATTACAGTGAGAAACATCAGACACTGATTATATGTTTTTGAAAGCCTCGGTAACACTTTACTTGACGGGGTGTGCATTAGACTAACATGGCACCTTTATAATCATGACATGACATATGTTATGATTATGAAGGAAGTTTTATGCATGTTTGTGACGACTGTCATTAAGTGTCATTCACTCAGTTATTACATTTTTAATGGAAAAATACATTGTTTGAGATGTCTTTGTTATGACACCTTGACATAAACCATAACGTCATAAACTGTCAGTGTCTTCGTAATGACAACTTGACATTACTAAGACAACACCTGTCATAAACATGACATTAATGATCAAACTTAAGAAACCACTTAGGTTTATTGGTTAACATTACATTAAACTGTCAGGTGGTGGGTTTTGACATTTGAAGCCATTATAACTCTTTAATGACAAATTCAATTAGTACCACTGTAGTTGAGGTCGTGAAAAATATTCATGGCACAGTTATAATGGCCTCATGACAGCCAATGTCAAAGCCAACCACATGACAGTTTAACTTCATTTTATGTCAAGTTGTCATCACAAAGACACTGACAGGTTATGATGTTATGGTTTATATCAAGTTGTCATGAAAAAGACATCTTAAACAATGTCATATTTGCATTCAAAATGTCATTATTGAGCGAAAGACACTTAATGACAGTCGTCATAAACCCTACTTCATTTTCAAGACATATGTCATGTCATGGTTATGAAGGTGTCATGTCAGTCTTATGCACACCCCTTCGAGTAAAGTTTTACCAAAGTCCCTTCTGCTCACCAAATAATCATTTATTCGATCAAAAATACAGTAAAAGAAATAGTATTGTGCAATAATATAACAATTTCACAACTTTATTTATGTTATTTTGTGTTATAAAGTCAAAATTGCAAGATATAAACTCACAATTGCAACTAAATCCGACCTTTTCTCGTACTTGCGACTATTTCTCACAATTCTGACTTTATAACATGCAATTGAGTTTATATCTCGCAATTCTGGCATTTTTTTTAGAATTGTGAGAAAAAAAGTCAGAATTGTGAGATTAAAAGATGGAATTACCTTTTTTTATAATTATTCTGTAGCGAAAACAAGCTTCCATAGTTTTCTGTTGTAATATATTGTAAAATGTAATTTATTCCTGTGATCTAAGCTGAATTTTCAGCTTCATTACTCCAGTCTTCAGTGTCACATGATCCTTCAGAAATCAGTCAGCTCAATTCAGTTTAAATTCAGTTGAACTGTAGACTACCTCCCACTTTAAAGGTTAATATTTAAATTAGCAATGAAACTGTTCAGAAGTGAAATTATTCAGCAGGCGTTTGCAGTGAAGGAGTGTGTTTGACCTGCGCAGGGGTCGAGCTGGAGCCGGGCACGTCTGCGGTGCGGGTCACGGGGAGAGGAGGAACCAGATCAGTCCGAGAGCTACAGAGATCAGTAAGTGGAAAGAGCATTAAAAAGGACCTATGCTTTTTCACATGTTCATCTTTCTTTAGTGTGTTGTATAATGTTGCTGTTTGAGCATGAAAAAGCTCAGCAAAGTCACTAAGTTCATCAGTGTCAGTGTTTCTGAACTCCTGAAACGCCTCGATTGTAGTCTTGAGTTTCTTCCGGGAACAAACACGTCACAATATTCCTCATTTAAATAATTCATACAGAGAATAAAGGGGCGGGGCCTGGTTGAGTGAGTTAGTAGTGTGTTGTTGCCATGTTGCATCCAAAATCACATACTCATGAGTAGGTACAATTTTTTTTTTTTGTGCGACTGCTAAAAAAGTTTGTTCTATATAGTATGAGTGTGTAGTATGAAAGTAATCTGGACATTCCGGTTCTACATTTGCCATGTACATCTAGGGTGACCACCTGCTAATAAGCCCAAGGGGGGACAAGGGGTATGTTTCTGAGGGACAATGTGGGACACTGCTAGGCGCGGCGGTGCCCCCATCCCACGGGCAGACTCTGATAGTGTTTTACCCCTATCTAGAATTGTTACTATTGCCTTACTGTTTGTACATGAATAATTGTCCAAAAAAAAAAAAAAAAAAAAAAAAAGCACATACCTTAGCAAAATACATTAATAACGCCCTATTCCCTAAACATGTGTAATTGCTGATATATGCTCATGAATAGGCCAACCAATGTGTATTTTGTTTTCTAAATAAAATGAATATTTTGAACATTCAATGAATTGACAAATGCACTTCCACTTACGATTTACTTTAGCTATTTAATTTTATTTATTTTTCATTACAATTAATTCACTTTAAATAAATAATTATAGGATTAACAGGAATTATAGTTCCTCAACACCACAGGAACAGTTGAAAAAAAGTCGAAAAAAAGTCTAAACTCACAACTCCAGAGGTTCACGGAACGACAAGGTGTGCTGTCACGACAACAATGAAAAAGTTGACATCAACCTAGTCAGCAGGTCACGTGGGAGTGGTAACCAGTCTTGGGGAAGTTCTCACTTTCTGAACTAGTTCAAAGTTCAGTTCACACATTTTAAAATGAACTAGTTCAGTTCAAAGTTTGCACAGAAATGTAAGATTTTTCCCATCTTCACCGGCCTCGTTAAAAAATCCGTTTAAATTATCATAAGACGCCTTTGTCGACGGCGGCCATGGTGCGACACTGGTGGCTTGTGTTGCCAGATTTTGTTTTTTTCGCTACATATTGAGCCCTGTTTATGTTGAGTTTTAGCCGGGTTTTCGCCTGGAAGGCTCTATAGAAATCTGGCACCCCATTGAACGAAGTTAAACTGAGAGAGCGTGCGTTCACTTCACAGACAGACACCAGAATGAACGAGTTCACACGTTAATCAGGACAGGATGTAAAACAATACGTTCAGTTCACCCAAAATATGAACGAGTTCATGAACGTGAACGAGTTCAGGCACAATGTTTGGCTGCCTGGGTCTCCAGGATATAGACTGACCGACTTTTTTTTTTTTTTTTTGAGCAAGCATTGATTATGCGTGACACGGTCTCAATTTGCGGGACGCATGAATTGGGCTTCAAACGCTGTGCGCGCACGCGCTACGCGGGACGGGTGGTCACCCTATGTACATCTACATTCGCACATGTGACCAACCACAGTTACGTCACTTCACAAATCCTCTCCCGTGGGCTCATGGGATGGTAAAGCGTCCATCGTATGCACACTTCAGAATCTCACTGGAAGTAGTAGGTCATCCGGGTACCTTTTTGCCTACTCTTTTATGAGTACTGTGACTTCAGACATACTACTCTTGACACCTACTATATGCGATTTCAGATGCAGCTGCTGTTTTTCCACCCTGGATCTAATTATGGTAAGGGGCGGGACATTTCAAAAACACACTCAAAGCAATTGACGAATCACAACAAAATGCTTCAGCAGACCAATCAGAGCACAGAACTGCTTTTCAGGAGGGGCTTCATAGAGGCGGGAACTAAACAGAGCGTTACTGACAGACTGGGAAGAGACGAGCTGCAACAATGGAGAATATGGGGGGAAATACTGTTTTTTTGAACATTTAAGTATGAAAACCTATTCTAGTAGAGCCCGAAACAAAATCAAGAACATAATACTTTAAAATGAAGAACAGTGATATTGAGTGTGATATGCGAAATCCCTTTGAGCGCTCAGGACTTACTTGACCTCGGAGAGCACAGACCTCTCGCCATCCGAACAGTGGGAGCGTCGAAACTGCCGGAAGCTCCTGGGAGAATGTGAATGGCGGATCTTGATTGGGTCACCTTGTGTCCTGAAACGAGACACATGCAGTTGTTTGTATTTTTGTACCATGGGCGCTAGTCTTTCAAAGCTTTCTTTGCAGCTCATGTAAACGCATGTTTTCTATGGACACTTATTATCAGTGTAATGCACAGGGGATTTTTACACACTGACAGACATCATCTTTTTATTTATTTATTCATGTGCCTCATCTTTAATCAGAATATATTCCCCTCTCTATTCATCTCTTCTCTTCTCTGATGGCGAGGGCGGGACAACCTGTCACTCACATGAGATCTGAACCATCTGAAGATGCACACTTTATCGGTCCAACACACATTCTTCGCATCCATGTTTTCAACCGTGTTATCAATTATAACAATTTGGGGGTTTATTTGTGTTTATAAGTCAGTCCATTTATAATGATAGTTTCCCATTCACTCTTGAATGGTTTCACAAATATACTGCAACTAAATTTTTTTTATATTTTTATATTATTTAATTTAGCATTAAATTAAATATATGAACTTTTCATCGCACAGAAGAATGGAGCATCTGAAGTCAAAAAACAGCGGTTTAATTAATAATATATTAAAGGAGTAGTTCACTTTTGAAAAAAACTTTTGCTGATAATTTACTCACCACCATGTCATCCAAGTTGTCCATGTCTTTCTTTCTTCAGTCGAAAAGAAACATTCCAGGATTTTTCTCCATATAATGGACTTCAATGGGAACCAAACGGTTCAAGTTCCAAAAGACAATTTCAGTGCAGCTTCAAAGGGCTTTAAACGATTCCAGACAATGAATAAGGGTCTTATCTAGGACCCTTCGAGTCATGACTTATCACAGAACAGAGCAAGGCAAGCCTTTGTGCTTATAAAATGTAAACTTTGTTATTTATTTTTGAAATCGATCGTTTCGCTTCATAAGACCCTTATTCATCATCTGGTGTCGTTTAAATCCCTTTGAAGCTGCACTGAAACTCTCATTTGGACCTTGAACTGTTTGGTTCCCATTGAAGTCCATTATATGGAGAAAATCCTGGAATGTTTTCATCAAAAACCTTAATTTCTTTTCGACTGAAGAAAGAAAGACATGGACATCTTGGATGACATGGGGGTGAGTAAATTATCAGCAATTTTTTTTTTTTTAAAGTGAACTACTCCTTTAATGTGATGCGGTATAAATGTATATACACAGGAATTACATTTGCAGGGAAATTTTCTTTTCTTTTTCACCAAGGAGAAAATGTTCTCTATATCCTAATCCTTGGTTAACAAACATGTATTCATTACTTCTATGTGCTCATTGTTTCTACCTTAAATTAACACATTGTTTAAATTAATAGATTATTAGCCGACTGTGTGATTTGTATATCCTCTGATAACAGATCACTCTAAATTGTAATGTGGAAGAAAGCATTTTCTGTAAAGCTGCTTTTCACAATACGTACTGTGAAAAGTGCTATACAAATAAATGTGAATTTTTAACGGCTACTTACAATGTTTTTTCGGATATGCTAAATAGTTTATGTGGTAACTTGTTTCATGCAAGTAAAAAAAATGTAGGTTAGCACGTGTTTTCATAGGACAGTTTTGTTTGACTCACTCCACTTTCTTGTATGGAATTTCCTTCAGTTGCTCCTCAGAGAGACCGGAAGGGTCGATCAGGTCCTTCCTGTTCACAAACATAAAATAATCATCACCGACTCATCTTTTGCTTTATCATAGATTGATTTATTAATAACAGTATTAGCGAGGAGAGTGACGTTAAACTCACTGGATGTGTTTCCAGAGCTGCTCTTTAGCTTGAACGTCAGGACTTCGTCTACGTCAAGAGAAAGCGTTCAAAAACTGGCATAAGACATTCAATATGGTCTTATGTATATGGTTTAATTGCTTTAGTATAATTGTAAAAATGTCCATCTTCAGGTCTGTTTGCTGTGAAATCTTTACTGATTTTAAAAAGTAGATAAGAATAACTTTTATATTGCTAGTAATATTTCAATATGGACACCTGGACTGAAGCAACTGAACATGACTTGATTATCCATACATCATTTTACACGGGCAAGCACCCGTGTTATTTTAGTATCATTAAGACTTTATTAGTTTTTATTAATATTTTAAAATTAATATCATTATTTATTTGATTTTTTTTATAGTTTTTGTAATTTTCCTTTTTTGTCCTTTTTATTAATTTTGTAATTTGTCTATATAGTTTTTAAAAATTTTTTATAGAAAAATCACGCGAGTATAAAATATGATCCATCAGTTCCATTGAATATATAATAGTTGCACTGCATTACATTATACGTTTTGAAAATACAGAGCGTTGATCATAAAACTGAGCATTTAATATCATCTTTCCAAGACATATAATTGAAAGTAAAAATATATGATTGAGAGTGAAAATATATGTGGATATGTATATACATTTTATTTAAATAATCAGCTATACTGTTATAAAGATCGCATTGATTTACATTACAAGCTATCAGAATATCATCTTCTTTTTAGCCATATAAATATCCACAACTGCACCTTTCTGCATATTCTTACCCATCAGGACCCTGAATAAAAATAGAAGAGTTTTTCCTCCATATTCTCACTATATCATACTATATTAAAGGCTGATGTATCAAATATGATAGTCGACGAATAAAACATATGCAATCTTTCTTTTTTTTTTTGGTCTAAAGATTCAATAGCCTTTCCATTGAAAATAAATGATCAGGGGTTAACAGGGTTAATGATTTCCGGCTTACGATCGTGAGCGGTGCCGTGAGCGACGATGGTTGGGATCGTTTGGGGTTTTTTCTTTCTGTCTGCGCAGCACAACCTCCCACTGCGGACCAGAATCCACCATCTCGTTCTCCTGACGGGACCTGCAGCACACACACATTTATTAGAGAGATTTACTAGTGAATGCATTGAAATTCATGCTTTCTTTCAGACAGAAAAGACGCAGAAAAGTTTCCATTAAAACTATAAATTGCTTTCATATATGCTTTGCATATATTTCACGAGAGCACCAGGACAGCAGCCCTCTGAATTTCATTGTCCACGAAAGCTCACCGGTTTCTTTTTTTACGATGTTCCCTGTTGGAATTCTCGGATTCGCTGCCACTGCTGGTGTTGCCACGGGAACGTGATCTATAGGGACAAATCAGAGGGGTCAAAAGGTGACAGGACAGAGTGAAAGAGGGACACACATCCCTGAATCGTTCTAGAATGTTTATCAACATCAGTTTCGCAAAAACAAACTGAAACAAAAAATTGTAATACAAGAAATAGTGGTATGAAAATTCCAATGGCATCTGCACTGCAAATGAGATGTTCTTAAAAATAATTGAGTATATGAACCTCTTCTTTATAAAAAATAAAAAATGACATCTCCATCTACATGCATGGTCATTTATTAAACATTTTGGTGAATCTGGTGATGAAAAATTGTGATTCACACTCAGCTGTTTAACATGATTCATTCTGCAGAGTTTGCCTCAAAATCAGAACATGCAGTAAATAAATAAATAAATCAAATAAAACAGCCAGTGACAAACCTGTCTTGAAAAGAATATACTAGAAAAACAATGAGCCGTGGGACACTAAAAACTAATTGTTTCCTTTTTGCAATATTATATTAGTTGTGAATCAGTTGAAATCTAAAGGAGCGAGTGAATAGACATGAACCTCCTCCTGTGTTGCTTGTTGGCCTGTGGGTCGTCAGTGATTGGACCTCTCCTGGAGAAACGAAACACAAGGAAGTGCGTTTAAAGGGGTGGTATAATGCCCTTTTCACAACATGTAAAATATATCTGTGATGTCCCCAGAGTGTGTAAGTTCAAAATACCCCACAGATATTTTTATATAGCATGTTAAAGTTGTCACTTTTTGAAAACGCCTCGTTTTGTGTGTGTCCCTTTAAATGCAAATGAGCTGCTGCTCCCGACACAGAGGGCGGAGCTTCAAGAGCTTGTGAGGCATGATTACCTCACACAGACATGCACTGAAAATTTTAACAACTTTTATGTTCAAACCGGAGTCAGACAATGATGAGAGACTCAAGAAGAAGAAGTGACAACATGTAGAAAGCAACCAGGACATTTCTAAATGGTTGGTTGATGAATGTATGTAGCTTATGTGTAGTTATCTTCTAGTCAGTGAGTAGCATATTCAGATCTAGTACAGTAACTTTCAGCTCCTTTACTGCCAGACAATGAGACTTTATATGGCAAGCCGTTTCAACATTTCATCATTTAAACATACTAGCCTCTTTTTTCATGCTACTAGTACTTATTTTTTTAGATAATCTATTCCATTAAGTACTAGTACTTATGCATTAGCTACTAGTGCTTATTCTTTAGATACTTGTGCCTTTTCTTTAGATACTAGTGTTTATTCTTTAGGTACTAGTACCTTTTTAAAGATACTAATACTCATTGATTAGATTATTTCCGTCCTTCGGATGAGACGTTAAACCAAGGTCCTGACTCTCTGTGGTCATAAAAAATCCCAGGATGTCTTTCGAAAGAGTAGGGGTGTAACCCCGGCATCCTGGCCAAATTTGCCCAGTGGCCTCTGTCCATCATGGCCTCCTAATCATCCCCATATACACCAATTGGCTTCATCACTGTCTCCTCTCCACCAGTAAGCTGGTGTGTGGTGAGCGTTCTGGCGCAATATGGCTGCCGTCGCATCATCCAGGTGGATGCTGCACATTGGTGGTGGTTGAGGAGATCCCTCCCTCTATGTGAAGCGCTTTGAGTGTCCAGAAAAGCGCTATATAAATGTAACAAATTATTATTATTATTTTATTTTTAGATAGTCCTTATTTATTAGATACTAGTACTTATTCATTAGATACTAGTATTATTCATTAGATACTAGTACTTATTCATTAGATACTAGTACCTATTAAATAGATACTAGTACTTATTTCAATAGATACTAGAACTTTTATTTTACTTGTAAGATTTTTAATTGAACTCCACAGTGGCCGTTTTGACTAGTCATAACAAAAGACTAGTAAAAAAGCAGTTGTGACTAGTAAAATAAAAATTCTAACTAGTAACATTTGGAATAAATACTAGTATCTAATAAATAGGTACTATCTTTTGAATAAGTACTAGTATACTATCTAATTAATAAGTACTAGTATCTAATAAATAAGTATGATCTAATGATTAAGTACTAGTAGCTATTGAATAAGTACTGGTATCATATCTATTTAATAGGTAGTAGTACCAAATGAATAACTACTAGTATCTAATATATATGTACTAGTCACAATTGGAATACATACTAGTCAGAACTGAATAGTTGATATCTGAATGACAGATCCCCATAGAAGTCAATGGCAAAAAATTAAATGTGTTACTAGTCACAAAAGAATAGTTACTAGTCACTATCGAAATAAGTACTAGTATCTAATGAATAAATGCTAGTTTCTATTTAATAGGTACTAGTATCAAATAAGTACTAGTATCTAATGATTAAGTACTAGTATCTAATGAATAAGCACTAGTAACTAATAAATAAGGACTAGTATAATGAATAAGTATTAGTATCTTTAAAAAGGTACTAGTACCTAAAGAATAAACACTAGTATCTAAAGAAAAGGCACTAGTATCTAAAGAATAAGCACTAGTAGCTAATGCATAAGTACTAGTACTTAATGGAATAAAAAAATAAGTACTAGTAGCATGAATATAGAGACTAGTAGGTTTAAATGATTAAATGTTAAAACGGCTTGCCATAGACTTTAGCTGAAAAAGAATCATTCTAGAAATATCAAATCATGTTTACATGATGCCATTTGTAACATATTCAGGGTGTTATCAATTAAAAGGACTAGAGGAATTATTCGGATGCAACTCGTTGTGTTTGGCTTCGTAGTACAAATGATATTTGTTCCATTATATTCCCACTAGAGGGAGCAAATGCATGTGGATTCAGAGTCAGGCTGTGTGTGAAACGCTGCCTCAGAGGATGCTTTCCAAGAGAGGCAAGTCCGAATCCAGTGTTAGCTTAACTTCCTGTCTCCTGAGATACCTTCATCTGATTGATAACCCACAATCCAGTGCTTTCTATTCTGTGACAGTTGAGCTAAAAAAAATAACGATGGCATCTGAAAGTTGTGTGTAAATGTGCATTTTCCACTTCTGATGTCATCTCCAGCAAGAAATTACTATTGTAGAAATTAAAGCTGCAGTCCGTAGTTTTTCCTCTTAGTCGCCATCTCTGTTCGAAATCGGCAATTGCAGTTATTCGCGGAATTATCGACTTTATGTGAGTTGTGCCTCGGCATGGCACAGCGGGGATGAACACGATGTTTGAGGAGAGTGTGAGGCTGTCAGTCGCCGCCGGTGTGGATACTGGCATTCACAATCACAGATTATTCTTTTTAGAAGTATGACCAACATAGCATTTTCACCGGAAAACTTTTGTTCTGGTTCTGACATTTCTGTAAATCGCGCTGATTGAATCTAACAATTGCTTATCATGCAAAACCGTGCAAATTATACTTTGTGCTCAAATCGTTAATGTTCAATGTCAGTATTGCGCGACTACATGTAATGTCCTTCCGGTTCCAGTCTCTTTTTTTCTGTAGCCGCACCGAAGTCCGAACGAAGTCTTTTGCATTTTACAGCGGGTGAGTCTGTTGTCACGGGGGATCCGCCATCAAATTGATAAGTTTAATTATATCAAGTGCTGTGAGAAAAGGCTATAAATGTCCACCTCCAACATCCTCACACGCAATATAGCCGACTAGCCGAGACTCTTCTTTATGTGTACAGATGTGTGTGTACAGATGTGACGTAATGACGCAAAGACATGCTTGAAACTCCCGCGGAATCCAGTGGAGTTAAAAACATTATTACAAGCTTACCGTTTTGAATCGAGCTACGGCAAGCAGAGAGTTTGAACACTGGCTGGTTATGTATTTTCTCAAATACGTATTTTGGATCATTTTTAACCCGAAAAAAATCTACTGACTGCAGCTTTAAATTATTTGCTTGGTTTTCAGCAAATCTCGTTCTATTGTGCTGCAGATCATTAAACCGTTACACAGCTTCAAATGTCTGTTTAGCGAGGAAACGTCGTTTGAGCTATTTGAAGCTATAGACTCTTCGGTGTTTCCTCAAACTGCATTACGACTGTCCGAAATCGCCCCTTATACCCATAAATAGGGCACTATTTGTAGTGTTGAGCGAAACCATAGTGGACGTTATCGAGTGCACTCATTCAATCCCATAATGCACCACAATAACGCCTACATTCAGCGGCTTAAGAATACCCATAATGCACTGTGAGTGTTGCGTGCCAAATGAATTCCCACGTCTCGCCTGAAGATGCGCCGCGGCTGAATCATCCATTCATCAATTTTCCAAACCGCTGGCTGGTCCAATGTGGCTACAGTGTAATATCACACAGGTATAAATGCCTTTTTTATTGCCTATTAATTAAGGTTTATACATGCTAGTTTCCACGCCAGAGTGTTTGCTAAGTTTTAAATGATAATTAAACAGCACAAACTACACAAAAGCTGCAGCCCTTCCTGCGCCTAAGTGTCTGAATTCACTCACTCATTTTCATTCACTCCTTCAAGTGGACTATATTAGTGGAGTGATGTAGGGATTAGTGAATGAGGGTATAGGGGGAGATTTTGAACACAGCTAAATGAGTCATAAATGAGTGTTAATGCAGAAAGGAAATGCATGTGAACACAATGGTGCACCCTTGAGCACATGAGCGCACACCTGCGGCGGGCCGAGTGAGACGTCTCGTTCTCGCTGCCCCCTGAGGGTGAACGTCTGTGAGCTTTTGGGAATTTGGGAGATTTGTTCCGCTCACTGGCCGAGTTGTACAGTCCGCTGAGGAAAAACAAAGACGGGACAGATTAGAGGGGATAAGAATGCACCGAAAACAGAAGCAAACACTACAGTGGCATTAGTATGTTTATGTGTGCACATGGAAAACCATCAAATATCAGAGTTCAGGAATATGAATCAGTGTTATTCAAGGTTAACATCGTTTACTAAAACTATTTAAAACATTTCTGTTCATTAAAATATAGCTGAAATAAAATGAAATATAAATATTAGTTGAAAAACTTGAAATTTTAAATGTTGCCATGGCAAAAAAACTGAAAGAACTAAGACTGAAATAAAACTAAATTAACCTAAATAGCAATATTTTAAAAAATAACAACGAATTATTAACAAACAAAATTAACATGAAAAATAACAAAGGTGTTAACTAAATCTATTCAAAAATGTTTTCTGTAACTGAAAAAATTGGATTGGAATAAAATAACATTAATATTACAAGAAAAACTTTTAAAAATAAAATTAAAATGACTAAGACTAAAACTAAAATTTAAAGATTAAATTTTAGTTTTAGTCTTAGTCATTTTAATTTTATTTTTTAAAAGTTTTTCTTGTAATATTAATGTTATTTTATTCCAATCCAATTTTTAGTTTTTTGTCATTTTGTCATTTTTGTTTTAACTTTAATTTAATTTTAAAGCTAAATATAAATATAAATGTTATTTTATAAAAAAAATAACAAAAGCAAATACAATTACAAAAACTTAAAACTAAAAGCAAATAAATAAAAAATTAAAACATGCTCACTCAAAATATGAATAACTACTAAAGTAGTATACAAATAAACCTAAAACAAACAAACAAAAAAATTCTAATATGAATGCAGGAGTACCATGGTAAATAAACCTGATATATTGTTAACTTTTGAACACATAATCATGTTTAGTACTGTACCTCTGTGGGGCGTCTTCCTCCCATGGTGCACTGGGCTTGTTCTGCTGGTCTGAAGTGCTGTCTATCTTTGCTTTGGGACTTTGTGAAAATACAATGAAACACGATGCTGAATGTTGACGTGACAGTTTGCAAAAAAACACGTTTTACTATTTCACAGAATCCTGTTGGAAAAACTCTAAAATGAGATCTTTGGCTCTGTTTACTCCTGGTATTGAGATGTGTTTTGGTCGATCGGATCACAAGTAGAGGGAGACACATTCCTGTTTCTCCATATATAGGATTTTTCTCCACTTCAATGGGAACCAAACAGTTCAAGGTGCAAAAGACACTTTCAGTGCAAACTATTCAAAGGGCTTTAAACGACACCAGACGACGAATAAGGGTCTTGTCAAGCGAAACAATCGCTCATTTCAAAAATAAGTAAAAAAGTTTACGTTTTATAAGCACAAAAAGTCGCCTTGCTCTGTTCTGTGATGCGCGTTCGTGACTCTCCTTTTCAAACTCGTTTATCAAAATGAACAAATCTTTTTTCGAGTCGTGACTCAAAGGGTCCTAGATAAGACCCTTATTCATCGTCTGGTGTCGTTTACAGCTGCACTGAAACTGTCTTTTGGACCTTGAGCCAAAACCAACTGTCTTTTGGACCTTGACCTTGGACCTTTTGGACTTTGGACCTTTGGTTCCCAATAAAGTCCATTATATGAACAAAAATGCAAAAATTTTTGATGAAAACATTCCAGGAATTTCTCCATGTAATGGACTTCAATGGGAACCAAACGGTTCAAGCTCCAAAAGACAGTTTCGGTGCAAACTGCAAACTGTTCAAAGGGCTTTAAATGATTCCCAACGATGAATAAGGGTCTTATCAAGCGAAATAAAAAAACAAAAACAAACAAAGTTTAAGTTTTATAAGCTCAAATGGTCACCTGAATGAGTTCAAACAGGAGAGTCACGAACGTGCATCACAGAACAGAGCAAGGCGAAGATTTGAGCTTATAACACTTAAACTTTGTTGTTGTTGTTTTATTTTTAAATGAGCGATCGTTTCGCTTGATAAGACCCTTATTCATCGTCTGGAATCGTTTAAAGCCCTTTGAACAGTTTGCACTGAAACTGTCTTTTGGACCTTGAACCGTTTGGTTCCCAGTAAAGTGCATTATATGGAGAAAAATCCTGGAATGTTTTCATCAAAAACCTTCATTTCTTTTCGACTGAAGAAAGAAAGACATGGACATCATGGATGACATGGGCATGAGTAAATTATCAGCAAAAGTTTTTTAAAAGTGAACTACTCCTTTAATGAAGGAGTTGAAGTACCTCTTGACTGGTGTAAGTGCAGTGGTTTTGGACTGGCTCTCGCTCATGTTATCCATCTTTGTGACCGTCTGGCCTCCGTTGGTCCGTCCTAAAGCACATATTTCCGAAACATGAGTGCTATTGTGGCCAGAGACATCAATCTGATGTTAGATTCTCCATCCAGTTAACCAGAACAACTCCTAATCACACTGGCTGAGTCCATCTGTATCCGCCTCTCACGGCTTTCCTCTGTTGTGTCAAGAGATTGCCGTCTGAACAGAACAATAGAGCTGCGTTTGAGCTCATGCGTGGAGGTCAGGTGCGACCCGCTTCACACACACACATTCCTGTCTCAGCCGAGCAACAACAGAGTTGATCTCAATCACATGCCTGTGCGCTGAAGTGAAGGTGCTTTTACCAGCTCAGGTGGAACCAAACGGACCGATCGCGCACCTGAGCTGCAGGTCATGTGACACACAGGGTTTCTTTTTACGTTTTGTTGTACGAGTCCAACTCCAAACAGTTGTTAGTGTAACGTCCAACAACATGACTGTATAATACAAATATACATGAGAAGGTGTTGCAATACAGTTGCCAGGCTGTTCTGTGTGGTTGCCAGGTAGTTGCTAGGGTGTTCTGTGTGGTTGCTAGGGTGTTTTGTATGGCTGTTGGTAGTTGCTAGGGTTAAGTACTGGTGCTATGCAGCTTAGGGTATTCTGTGTGGTTGCTAGGGTGTTCTGTGTGGTTGCTACGGTACGCTGTGTGGTTGTCATGTAGTTGGTAGGGTGTTCTGTGTGGTTGCTACATAGCTGGTAGGGTATTCTGTGTGTGGTAGCTAAGTAGTTTCTAGTGTGTTTTGAATGGCTGTTAGGTAGTTGCTGAGTATTTGTACTCTTGCTACGTAGCTGCTAGCAAGGGAATTGTGTGGTTGCTACTTGCTAGGAAGTTTTGTGTGGTTGCTATGCTGTTACTAGGATGTTTTGTGTTGTGGCCAGGTATTTGCTAGGGTTTTCTTTCCGTTTGCTAAGTAGTTGCTTGTGTGTTTTGTATGGTTATTAGGTACTTGCTGGGGTTTTGTACTGTTGCTAAGTAGCTTCTAAGGTATTCTAGGGTGTTTTGTGTGGTTGTTATGCAGTTACCAGTCTGTTCTGTACAGTTGGCACTATCTACACTAACTAGTTGGCAGATAGCTACTAGGGTGTTTTGTGTGGTTGCTAAGTAGTTGTTACTAAGTTTTGTATGGCTGTTACCAGTGTGTTCTTTGTGGTTGCTAGGTAGTTGCTAGAGTGTTTTGATTGGTTGCCATGGAGTTACCAGGGTGTTCTGTGTGGTTGCTATGTAGTTGCTAAGGTGTTTGTATGGTTTCTATATAGTTGCTAGTAGGGGTGGCACGGTACATGAAAAAACACCCGAACCGTTCGGTTCGCTTGTCTCGGTTCGGAGCGTGTGTGCGTCTCACGGTTCGACGCATGCGCAATGTAACCTCGTGCCCGTATGTGACGTGTGTTTTCTTTTCGCGCGACATAAGCTTGTTCGACTTGGACCGGCGCTGCACAGAGCGATCGGTGAATAACATCAGTCTAGCGCGAGTCGGCTCCGTATGCATTCATCACTTTCGCGGTATTTGATGTCATTACCGATCGCTCTGTGCAACGCCGGTTCAAGTTAATAAACAAGCCAGTAAAAGTGGAGTATAGAGCGCTGCAGGTCACGGCACGCGGAGAAATGGAAAGTGGGAGAGATGAGGGAGTTGGAGGATGCGCCAGCGTCGTATAAGTCTATGGTATAAGTCCGGTGTGTGGGAACATTTTGGATTTCATGTTATGATATTTTAATTTAACTACAGTGGCACTTTATGTATAGATAAGAGCTTCAGTCATACGTTTCCAAACCCTGCACTTTAATTTTAAGTGGAAAAAAGTACCCTCACATTTTGGGAATAGAAGCATTGTTGATACTGTTTTTGTGTTGAGGTTGAACTTAAATTTCACTTTATGTTTATGGCCTTTGCTATTGCTATAGCTAAATTATCTATAGGCAATGAGGTTTCATGTATATTGACATTTAAAAGACAGTGTTTTAAGAGTTCCTCTCTTTTTCTTTTAAAATATAGAATTTTGGTAAGAGCTACAAAAGTTAGCAGTTGATACATGAAAGTTAATTTCTTTGTGTAAATAAGATTTATGTGATAAAAATGCACAAGTTCTTGTAGAGATAGTGATACACATTCTCCTTTTTTTTTTGCCAAATAAACAAAAAGCATGTCAATTTCTTCTCTCTTGCTGTATCTAAATCTCACCTAGCTTTCCTCTGAGATAGTCCAAAAATGTGCTTAAAGTCAAAGAGTGAAATTCAGTTTGTGCATGATTGCATGAATATAATATATATTTTTTTTAATAGTGTATCCTAAAGTGTGGATAATTATGCTGAAGTACATTTCTGGAGTGTTAAAGATTAAAAGAAAAAATAACAAGAACCGTACAGAACCGAAAACCGTGACCCTAAAACCGTGATACAAACCGCACCGTGGGTTTTGTGAACCGTGCCACCCCTAGTTGCTAGAGTGTTTTATATGGTTGCTAGGGTGTCTTGTGTGGTAGCAAGGTAGTTGATAGGTTACTTGTGTGGTTGCTAGGTTGTTGCTAATGTGGTTTCTAGGGTGGTCTGTGTGGTGGCAAAGTAATTGCTAGGGTGTTCTGTGTGTTTGCCAGGTAGTTGCTATGGTGTTCTGTGTGGTTGGCAAGTAGTTGCTATTGTGTTCTGTGTGGTTGGCAGGTAGTTGCTATGGTGTTCTATGTGATTGGCAGGTAGTTGCTATGGCGTTCTGTGTGTTTGCCAGGTAGTTGCTATGGTGTTCTGTGTGTTTGCGAGGTAGTTGCTATAATGTTCTGTGTGTTTGCCAGGTAGTTGCTATGGTGTTTTGTGTGTTTGCAAGGTAGTTGCTATGGTGTTCTGTGTGGTTGCCAGGTAGTTGCTATGGTGTTCTGTGTGGTTGCCAGGTAGTTGCTAGGGTATTCTGTGTGGTTGGCAGGTAGTTGCTAGGGTGTTCTGTGTGGTCGGCAGGTAGTTGCTAGGGTGTTATGTGTGGTCGGCAGGTAGCTGCTATGGTGTTCTGTGTGGTTGACAGGTAGCTGCTATTGTGTTCTGTGTGGTTGGCAGGTAGTTGCTAGGGTGTTCTGTGTGGTCGCCAGGTAGTTGCTAGGGTGTTATGTGTGGTCGGCAGGTAGCTGCTATGGTGTTCTGTGTGGTTGACAGGTAGCTGCTATTGTGTTCTGTGTGGTTGACAGGTAGTTGCTAGGGTGTTCTGTGTGGTCGGCAGGTAGTTGCTATTGTGTTCTGTGTGGTTGACAGGTAGTTGCTACTGTGTTCTATGTGTTTTCCAGGTAGTTCCTATGGTGTTCTGTGTGGTCGGCAGGTAGTTGCTATGGTGTTCTGTGTGGTTGGCAGGTAGTTGCTATGGTGTTCTGTGTGGTTGGCAGGTAGTTGCTAGGGTGTTCTGTGTGGTCGGCAGGTAGTTGCTATGGTGTTCTGTGTGGTTGGCAGGTAGTTGCTATGGTGTTCTGTGTGGTTGACAGGTAGTTGCTATTGTGTTCTGTGTGGTTGCCAGGTAGTTGCTACTGTGTTCTATGTGTTTTCAAGGTAGTTCCTATGGTGTTCTGTGTGGTCGGCAGGTAGTTGCTATGGTGTTCTGTGTGGTAGGCAGGTAGTTGCTAGGGTGCACTGTGTGGTCGGCAGGTAGTTGCTATGGTGTTCTGTGTGTTTGCCAGGTAGTTGCTATGGCATTCTTTGTGGTTTCCAGGTAGTTGCTATGGTGTTCTGTGTGGTTGGCAGGTAGTTGCTAGGGTGTTCTATGTGGTTGTTAGGTAGTTGCTAGGGTGTTCTGTGTGGTTGGCAGGTAATTGCTAGGGTATTCTGTGTGATCGGCAGGTAGTTGCTACGGTGTTCTGTGTGGTGGAAAGGAAGTTGCTATGGTGTTCAGTGTGTTTGCCAGGTAGTTGCTATAGTGTTCTGTGTGATTGGCAGGTAGTTGCTATGGTGTTCTGTGTGTTTGCCAGGTAGTTGCTATGGTGTCTTGTGTGGTTGCAAGGAAGTTGCTATGAGGTTCTGAGTGGTTGGCAGGCAGTTGCTAGGGTGTTCTGTGTGGTTGACAGGTAGTTGCTAGGGTGCTCTGTGTGGTCGACAGGTAGTTGCTATTGTGTTCTATGTGTTTGCCAGGTAGTTGCTATAGTGTTCTGTGTGTTTGCCAGGTAGTTGCTAGGGTGTTCTGTGTGGTTGGCAGGTAGTTGCTAGGGTGTTCTGTGTGGTCAGCAGGTAGTTGCTATGATGTTCTGTGTGGTTGACGGGTAGTTGCTATGATGTTCTGTGTATTTGCCAGGTAGTTGCTAGGGTATAGTGTGTGTCTGGTTGTCTCAGAGCACATGATGTTAGACGAGTGTAACAGTAAATGCATCTGACCTGAAGGCGGAGCGCTTCTCTTCGGGTAGGTCTTGCTGCGGGTTCGGATCACCTGTAGGTCGGGTCGAGGGAGAGTCACAGACGGCTCTCTTACTATTTGCGTTGCAGTTTTTCCACTAGAAGCAGAAACACACATTATGATTCAAGTCTTCCTGCATCACTGTAAAAATACACGTCATTGAAGGAATGGTTCACTCAAAAATAAACAGCATATTTTTACAACCTGTATGAAATTTAATCAATTATTTTGGGTGAACTGTTCCTTTTAAAACTGGCATTTAGTGGATGATTCAGTGTTGCAAAGGCGCTGTCAATTTGCCAATTATTTGACCTTCTTTTCTTTTGAGTTTGGCACACACTTGATGGATGTGATCCCGCCGTTTAAGCTAGCTTGTTTAATGACTAACCCTGAGAATAAAGAACATAAGTCACTGCTGTTTAACAGATATTCAGTATTATATCACTGTCTGTGACTAATATCTCTGTCTATACATATTACATGTTATTCTCAATAACTCATGTGTTTTTATCTGACTATAGATTTATGACTGCTTCTACACAATTTAGGGTTGGTAAGATTATTTAATGTTTTGGACAAAAGTCTCTTCTGCTAACCAAGGCTGCATTTATTTGATCAAAAATGCAGTAAAAACAGTGAAATATTATTACAATTTAAAATAACTGTTTTCTGTGTGAATATATTGAAAAATGTAATTTATTCATTACTCCAGTCTTCAGCGTCTTCAGAAATCACTCTAATATGATGATTTGCTGCTCAAGAAACATTTCTGATTATTGTCAATGTTAAAAACAGTTGTGCTACTTCATATCTGTGTGAAAACTATGTATTTTTCTTGGGATTCTTAGATAAATAGGAAGTTCAAAAGAACAGCGTTTATTTGAAATGGAAATTTTATATCATTATAAAAGTCTTTACTGTCAGTTTTGATCAATTTAATGCATGCTTGCTGAATAAAATCATTAATTTCTTTAAAAACGCCGTTCTGAATTCATTTCATTTCTCTTTTACTAACCTGTAGCGATGCTTCGAGCCCAGAGAGCTGAATTTGGACAGTTTCCTTGTTAGCGAATTAGACTCGTTCTCTGGCATTCTGTAATTTAGACGAACAAGAAAGCTTTAATTTACTGGTTTTTACCCTTTCTCCTTTTAATTTTGACTTCTGATGAAACATGGATGCTCCTTTCAAACATCTGTGGAGCAAATCTGTTGTTTACAGCCATATTTTAATGAGATAAATTACAGAACAAGTGTTGAGGAGAGCTTTCCTCTCATTAAAATTCAAAAGCTAGAAACATGCAGCTCTGATAAAACACACATCCAGCCAGCAGAGAAACTAAAAGCCAAAACATAATGAGAGATCAGACTAGAACTGATGCATGTTGTACAAGACTGCATAAAACATTCAGAGATCTTTGTGTTAAGATGAGAGAACATGATTTGGCTTGTTCTTTAAGTCCGGACAGTCCTGTTTCAGCTCAACGGTTCATTGCCACTGAGCTCTGTACAAGCTATATGAACAATATAGCAAACAACACTAACAATGCAATAATTCAGAGACACTTTATAATATGGATTCATGAACTAACGATGAACAATATTTCTATGGCATTTATTGGTAACACTTTACAATAAGGTTCATTAGTACTATAAAATAACATGAACTAACAACGAGCAATCCATTTGTTACTCTATTTAATATTTGTTGACATTAGTTAATAAAAATAATAAAGTATTAGTAAATGTTGAAATTAACATTAACAAAGATTAATAAATGCTGTATAGGTGCAGTTCACGTATACATTTAAGTAACGAACATTATTGTAAAGTGTTACCCATTTATTAATCTTAGTCAATGATCATTTCAACATCCACGAACTGTGTATGAACAAATAATGAACAATTGCATTTTTAAACATTTGATCAAAATGTTAGCAATAATTCTAATAAATGTTAGTATTTTGTTCACACAGTTTGGAGGTGTACATGTAACGTGTCTAAATCTCTCTCCCGTCGCTCTTTGTGTTTCCCGATCTTAAGTTTCACACGCGGATTACCAGCTGAAATCTCCAGCCTCCTGCATTCTGTGCGGCGTAAAGCTCTTTGGGGAGCGGAGTGCGAGCGCTCTGATGAAATAAACACCAGAGACGACTCTGAGCGCGCCGGGCGACGCGGGGAGGATTGGAGAACAGCCCCCGAAAGCTTCTCCTGTAAACGAGAGCCTCAGTAAAGCCCCGGGAATCTGAAGGGCCTTTGAGTTCACAACGTTTCTCTGTGAGAACGTACAGGACAGAGCGCTTTTGGCTTTCGGCACTAAAACAAGAAGCTTAGACAGGATTAAGATGTTTTTAAAGGGCATGAGGTTGTTTGAACCGGTGTTTTTTTTAGCATCATTGATATAAGCTATTACCTTATTTTGAATGAGATTTTTTTATATATACTTTCTGTTTCATTTTAATTTTAGTTAAAAGTTTAAAGTGTTTTTGTCATCTATTTTAACTCATTAAATTATTTACAATCTCCTGATTGTGGCCAGAATTAATTTTAAAGCTTTAAAGCAACACCAAGTAACTTTTCCTCTGCGGTCACCCAACAGGTTGGAAGTAGAATTGTCCATTACTGCTGTCGTAAATCATTTAGCCTACCACATCCTACTGTCGCACACGCACATGCTCTCTGTTTATCCAGCACCAGCTTTGGAATGAACGATGTCTATAGACAAGGTAGAGTATGTTGTATGATTTCATGAAAGTATGATGTATTGTGATATCAGAAATGAAGAAAAACTATATAAAAACTAATGTAACCTTGAAAGTAAAGCAAGTCAAATTTGTAGTTTTCTAAGGTCTCATTCGAACTACAGAAGCATGACCATGCAGGTCTGGCAAACTTGCACAGTGTGGTTTTAGCCGATATAGGGCTGCATAGTGTGGTTATAGCAGATATAGGGCTGCATAGTGTGGTTATAGCAGATTTAGGGCTGCATAGTGTGGTTACAGCAGATATAGGGCTGCATAGTGTGGTTATAGCAGATATAGGGCTGCATAGTGTGGTTATAGCAGATATAGGGCTGCATAGTGTGGTTATAGCAGATATAGGGCTGCATAGTGTGGTTACAGCAGATATAGGGCTGCATAGTGTGGTTATAGCAGATATAGGGCTGCATAGTGTGGTTATAGCAGATATAGGGCTGCATAGTGTGGTTATAGCTGATATAGGGCTGCATAGTGTGGTTATACCAGATATAGGGCTGCATGGTTATAGCAGATATAGGGCTGCATAGTGTGGTTATACCAGATATAGGGCTGCATAGTGTGGTTACAGCAGATATAGGGCTGCATAGTGTGGTTATAGCAAATATAGGGCTGCATAGTGTGGTTATAGCAGATATAGGGCTGCATAGTATGGTTATAGCAAATATAGGGATGCATAGTGTGGTTAAAGCAGATATAGGGCGGCATATTGTGGTCATAGCAAATATAGGACTGCATAGAGTGGTTATAGCAGATATAGGGCTGCATATTGTGGTTATAGCAGGTATAGGACTGCATAGTGTGGTTATAGCAAATATAGGGCTGCATGGTGTGGTTATAGCAGATATAGGGCTGCATAGTGTGGTTATAGCAAATATAGGGCTGCATAGTGTGGTTATAGCAGATATGGGGGTGCATAGTGTGGTTATAGCAGATATAGAGCTGCTTAAGGCCAATTTATACTTCTGCGTAGGGTGCGCGCAGTAGGTACGGCGTAGCATACGCACAGACGCGTCCCATACCGCGTACCCTTCGCCGTCGCCTGACGCGCACCTCCTCAAAAATGTAACTACACGTCGCGACGACGCGGACCGCAAGATCGGTGATTGGTCGGCTTGGTACTAGCATCGCATTTCCTCCTACGCATTTCCGCACGTACCTTCTCACGCATTTCCACCACTGTCTATGATTTCCACACGTTTCATCTCCTCCGAAGTCTTCTCTCATTTCTGCCTTTCAGTTTTAGTAATTTCACTAAAGTGAACTGTTTTTCCACCTTAATAAGCTCCAACTCCAACATGATCAGCTCTCTTTCAGTCGCTATTGCTCGTAGTAACCTAGCCGCGAGGAATCTAAACACAGTGGAACATTAAAACTCTCCGCCGCCAACTAGCGTTTCGGAGCAGTACTGCAGAGCAACCAAGACCTGAACGCAGAAGTATAAATGCTCACAACGGCGTCGCCTACGTGCGTAGCCAACGCCGTACACTACGGCGTACCCTCGACGCAGAAGTATAAATTGGCCTTTAGTGTGGTTATAGCAGATATAGGGGTGCATAGTGTGGTTATAGCAGATATAGAGCTGCTTAGTGTGGTTATAGCAGATATAGGGCTGCATAGTGTGGTTATAACAGATATAGGGCTGCTTAGTGTGGTTATAGCAGATATAGGGCTGCATAGTGTGGTTAACAGATATAGGGCTGCTTAGTGTGGTTATAGCAGATATAGGGCTGCAGATTGTGGTTATAGCAAATATAGGGCTGCATAGTGTGGTTATAGCAGATATAGGGCTGCAGATTGTGGTTATAGCAAATATAGGGCTGCATAGTGTGGTTATAGCAGATATAGAGCTGCTTAGTGTGGTTATAGCAGATATAGGGCTGCAGATTGTGGTTATAGCAAATATAGATAGTGTAGTTATAGCAGATATTGGGCTGCATAGTGTGGTTATAGCAGATATAGGGCTGCATAGTTTGGTTAAAGCAAATATAAGGCTGCATAGAGTGGTTATAGCAGATATAGGGCTGCATAGTGTGGTTATAGCAAATATAGGGCTGCATAGTGTGGTTATAGCAGATATAGGGCTGCATAGTAATGACTGTTTCTGATTTAAAGTCCATCAAGGTGCATCCATCCATGATAAAAGTGCTCCACACAGCTCCGGGGAGTTAATAAAGGCCCTCTGAAGTGAAGCGATGCGATGCGTTTTTGTAAGAAAATATTCATTTCATATGTTACAAAGTAAAATTCTAGCTTCCGGCCAAACGCCCGTACGCAGTCTATTTGCGCCAAAAGCATAAGTGCATCATGGCGTATCGCTCATTGCTCGCATTAGTTGCGCTTAGACTCTAGTCAAATACATATGTTAATTTGGCCAAAAACTAGTTATTTTATTTAATAAAGTTTTAAAATATGAATATTTTCACTAGATGAATGCATCGCTTCAAAAGGCCTTTATTAACCCGCCAGAGCCGTTGGAGCACAATTATCATGGATGGATGTACTTTATGGACCTTAAAACAGAAACCATTATAAAGCTTGGAAGAGCCAGGACATTTTTTATTATAACTCGGATTGTATTCGTCTGAAAGAAGAATGTCATACACACCTAGGATGACCTGAGGGTGAGTAAACCATGGGCTTTAGAGTGAGCTACTCCTTTAACACTGGCACTGAAACAGCACCTCCCTCAATTCTCTCCTACAAGTTTATACTCCCTCCCGCCAGCTAAGGTCACTGAATGAGGGACGCCTTATTGTTCCTTTAGAACGAGAGACCAAAAGTCACTCACTCTCTTTTGCTCTCTGGTGGAGAGTACTGCCAACCTCCCCACATCCCATCTAGATTGCTAACTAATAGTGGTCAAATAAACCTGCCATTGCCGAATATTGTTGGCTCTTTGACGAACTGCCTCTTAATAAAAGCGTCTGCTAAATGCATAAATGTAAATGTAGCTGACGATAATAACCCTGCATTTGATATCATTTGGAGAATGGTTGTTCTACCTAAAGAAGGTATGATGCTCCACACAGCACTTCCACAGGTTCTTGCAGGCCCCCTTACTGGGAGCTTCAAAGAAGAACGACGTCTCATTACACTGCAAAGAAACAAGCAAAGTTGTGATATCTGTATGTGCACAGTCAAACCAAAATGAGAATAAATATTCGCTATAGTTTCGAATGGTAATAAAATATGAGCAGAACTCAGAGTTATTAAATCAGTTGATATTTCACTGGTTAGACTCTCACACATGAATTATGTTGATCATGAATTATTATCTGTCAGCTGTTAAATTTAACGACACAATCAGATAATACCAATTTAGCTCAACCAATTACAAAGCAATGCTTCATTTTGTTCAGTCTGTGGTGTAAAAAGGTCGCTTTAGCAATTAAAGTAAAAACATAAAGCAAAATATGGTCAGGTCAAAGTGTCTGGATAAATTTCGGTCCCAAATCTTTATAAATTTTACTGGTAGTTCACTGTATGAAGAATTTTTGGGTATAATATGTCACAGTAGACTTTATTTTGCTATCCTCACTTACATGAACTACAGTGTCCAGCACCCACTAGTAAAATAATATATACAGTATAAAATATGTGGCGTCTGAATATTCTTTGGTTTGACTGTATATCTGCAGTCCCATCACCAGTGGTCAATTAGTTGAATGAACCAAATGACTCGGAAAAAAATTCGTTCATTTTGATTTTGAGGAACAAGTTCGAACAGGAAAGTCACGAACGCGCATCACAGAACAGAGCAAGGCGACCATTTGAGCTTATAAAACTTAAACTTTGTTATTTATTTATTAAATGAGCGATCGTTTCGCTTGATAAGAACCTTATTCATCGTCTGGAATCGTTTAAAGCCCTTTGAACAGTTTGCAGTTTGTAGTGAAAGAGTCTTTTGGACCTTGAACCATTTAGTTCCCACTGAAGTCCATTATATGGAGAAAAATGCTGGAATGTTTTCATCAAAAACCTTCATTTCTTTTCGACTGAAGAAAGAAAGACATGGACATCTTGGATGACATGGGGGTGAGTAAATTATCAGCAAAAGTTTTTTTTCAAAAGTGAACTACTCCTTTAAGAGCAGAGTCCTCGACGCCTTCACTCGCAGGTTAAATTGGCCCCTGGAGGAAACGGGTCAAGGAAGCTTAAAGGGTTAGTTTACCCAAAAATGAAAATTAAGTCATTAATTACTCACCCCCATGCTGTACCAACCCCGTAAGACCTTCGTTCGTCTTCGGAACACAAATGAAGATATTTTTGATTAAATTTGAGAGCTGTATAACTACCACATTGGCTCCTAAGGGACTGCCTCTTGACGGCCCAGAAAGTCAATGAAGAAAATGTTTAAATATTCCAAGTGACTACCGTGGCTCAACTATATGTTTATCAAGCGACGCGAATACTTTTTGTGCGAAAAAACAAACAAAAATAACGAGTTTATTCGACTATTTCTTTTCTTCCTTGTAGGCCAGAACGAGACTTCCTTATAGATTTCCACGACGCATGCGCGAGAATTGCGATCTGAAGTGGTGTAAGCTGGTGTAAGCAGATCGCAATTCTCGCGCATGCGTCGTGGAAATCTATAAGGAAGTCTCGTTCTGGCCTACAAGGAAGAAAAGAAATAGTCGAATAAACTCGTTATTTTTGTTTGTTTTTTCGCACAAAAAGTATTCGCGTCGCTTGATAAACATATAGTTGAGCCACGGTAGTCACTTGGAATATTTAAACATTTTCTTCATTGACTTTCTGGGCCGTCAAGAGGCAGTCCCTTAGGAGCCAATGTGGTAGTTATACAGCTCTCAAATTTAATCAAAAATATCTTCATTTGTGTTCCGAAGACGAACGAAGGTCTTACGGGGTTGGTACAGCATGGGGGTGAGTAATTAATGACTTAATTTTCATTTTTGGGTGAACTAACCCTTTAAGGCCAGTCATAACACTCGATCAATGATGGGATTTTCATTGAGTCCTCATGAAGGATCCTTCCTCCCAGCGGTCACGATTGGGGGAAATCAATGTCATTGAAGCAGTTGCAATAAAGTAAATTTAAGCAGTTTTATATATGAATTGTGTTGCTTGCTTTGAATGGAGAAACATAGTCTCAGTATAGTGTTGTTGAATACAGGCTCAACACTGAAGGGAAAGTTTCAAGCCAAATATATTTCTATAGCGCTCACAAAACACATTGTTTCAAAACGCTGTACAGAAAAGCAGGATTTTAATGTTTATAATATCTTCATGCCTGCAGCGATAGTGTAATGCAATGTTTGCATGTAAATGAAAGGGATTTTAAAATCACACATCTGAAACACATCTATAATTTATTGAGATTTTCTATTAAAAAGAAGACTTACATCTCTGCCCATAACCCGCAGCTCAAATTGTGTTTCCTTGAAATACACTTTCGTAATTCTAGGCCTGAAAAATCAAACATTAGAAGTTATTTTTTTTAACATTGTGTACAAAAGTAAATCAAAACTGAATGACAGAGTGAATAATATAATATAATACAAAATAATATAGTATAATACTATATGAATACTATATAATATAATTTAATATAATAACATAATAATATAATATAATTTAATATTATAACATAATAATATAATATAATATTATAATATAATAATAGGGCTGTCAAACGATTAATTGCGATTAATCACATCCAAAATAAAAGTTTGTGTTTACATAATATATGAGGGTGCACTGTGTATAATTACTTTGTGTATATATATATATATATATATATATATATATATAAATACACACACATGCATGAATATTTAAGAAAATATTATTTATATAATAAATATTTTATATAATTTATATAATAATAAAATATTTATATTTATATAATATAAATTATATATAAATCTATATACAGTATATATAAATATTTCTTAAATATATACAAGGATGTGTGTGTATTTAAATATATATAAAATAATTATACACAGTGCACCCACATATATTATGTAAACACAAACTTTTATTTTGGATGCGATTAATCGTGATTAATCGTTTGACAGCCCTAATAATATAATATAATAATATAATATATGTTTAAAGGAATAGTTCACCCAAAAATTAAAAAATCCTTCATCTACTCTGCTCGTTCCAAATTATTTTTTGTTTCAATAAACAGTAATGTTCCATGCCATTACAATGAATGGGACTGAGGCTTCAAGCTTCAAAAAAGACACAAAGGCATCATAAATTATAATAACAATAATAACAAGTCCAAATGACGTGTGCGCTAAATTCAGACCCAAAGTTAAGCTGCTAAATGGGACTCACGAGGAAGAAAAAAGCCAAACAGATCTGGAATGACATGCGAGTGAGTAAATACTGACATCATTTTTGGGTGAATTATTAATAGGTTAAAAATTCAGCTTAAACATCAACCTACCAGAAATATTTCCCGACTTGCGTTTTGTTTTTGTAAACCACAACCCCAACAGGCGTCAGTCCCAGGAAGTACTCCGATTGCTTTTCTCCCTGAAAAGACACATATGCAATACATTTACATTTACTGTATGTAAAGGAAAAGTTCATGCAAAAATAAAACCCTCAATTTGTTCTAAACCTGTAAGAGTTTCTTTGTTCTGTTGAACACAAAAGAAGGTATTTTGAAAAATGTAATCAGACATTTGCTGGTCCAGTGACTTCCATAGTATCCTTTTTTATTTATTATTTAGTAAAAGATAATACTCTGGAAGTCAGTGGGTTTCCATCAACTGTTTGGTTACCAACATTCTTCAAAATATCTTCTTTTGTGCAAAACAGAACAAAGAAACTCATACAGTTCTACAGAAGAGGAGAACTGCAAAGAACATTGACAGAAAAGATAAAAGTTGATGTTTTATCCGAGCAGAGTACATTGAAGGAAGAGAAAATCCTCAGTTGATAAAAGCAGGACTTGTGGACTCTACTTACAAACACAGGGTGCAGATCCACTCCATACATTTCCAGTGTTTTGGCAATTCCCAAGTAATTGTTTTCTGCCTCGGCAGGCACCTGACCCCTGCACAGAGAGGCCGACAGCTGACTGAACACTCAGAGGCAACAAATACTATCAAAATACAGATGAGAGTGTTTCAAAAATCCTTAAAACCCTTTTGGAAGAAGGTGCACTGTAAAAAATATTAACATTTTAAGTTCATTGAAATGGAAAAATTGAGTTAATACAATGACGGAGATTGATTTAATCATCAGAAACTCCAAATATTATTTTATCTGAACTACATAAGTAATTTAAGCTGATTTGACAAAAGATAAAATGTTGTGATTACAAATCATGAACATATTTTTTTAAACCTGGATTATCAAATGAAGCAATGTTAAGCTGTCTATTCAATTTTTGAAACAAACAATGATTTACTTTGAGCAAATATTTGAAATACCAAAGTAAACAAGAGCAGCATAAAGGAAAGAGAGAAAGAAAATCCAATTTTTATCATTAACTCGCTGGTTTTCCCAGAAAGGAGTGATTTTCAATATTGCTTTAGTATTATATTAATGGTTTTAACTAAAACACACAGACAAGTGTTCCAGAAACATGACATTGTAAAAGCATGTTGAAATTGTGAAACTGCTAACCTGGATTATCGGATGAGGGAATTTAAATGCATAAAAAATACATTTGCAACAGAAAAGAATTGACTATAAACAAACATGTGGAATACCAAAGCAGACAAGTGCAGCATACGAGCAGAAGAAGAAGAAAAACAAAGGAATGTAGTTTAATCATTAACTCAATGATTTCCCCAGAAAGATTGAATGTGATTTTTGGTGTTGCTTTAAACTTTTTCAGGAAATCAGTGATTTGTAAATGTGTGTTTGTCACGGACAGAATAGCCGGCCCGTGTTATTGAGGTCAAACCTGAAGGCAGATCTGCTGAAAGTGTGTGTGTGACCTGTGTGTGTGCAGTGCATGATGTCAACACAAGTTAGAGGATACAGATGTATAGATCCCACAGGACAAATTTAAGATGGGTGACGACTGACTGATCTATCTATCTATCTATCTATCTATCTATCTATCTATCTATCTATCTATCTATCTATCTATCTATCTATCTATCTATCTATCTATCTATCTATCTATCTGTCTGTCTGTCTGTCTGTCTGTCTGTCTGTCTGTCTGTCTGTCTATATATCTAACTGTCTGTCTGTCTCTCTGTCTATCTATCTATCTGTCTGTCTGTCTGTCTGTCTGTCTATCTATCTATCTATCTGTCTGTCTGTCTGTCTCTCTGTCTATCTATCTATCTATCTATCTATCTATCTATCTATCTATCTATCTATCTATCTATCTATCTATCTATCTATCTATCTATCTATCTGTCTGTCTTCTCTATCTATCTATCTATCTATCTATCTATCTATCTATCTATCTATCTATCTGTCTGTCTGTCTGTCTGTCTGTCTGTCTATATATCTAACTGTCTGTCTGTCTCTCTGTCTATCTATCTATCTATCTATCTGGCTGTCTGTCTGTCTGTCTGTCTGTCTATCTATCTGTCTGTCTGTCTGTCTGTCTGTCTATCTATCTATCCGTCTGTCTGTCTGTCTTCTCTCTCTATCTATCTATCTATCTATCTATCTATCTATCTATCTATCTATCTATCTATCTATCTCTCTCTCTCTCTCTCTCTCTCTCTCTCTATCTGTCTGTCTGTCTATCTATCTATCTATCTATCTATCTATCTATCTATCTATCTATCTATCTATCTATCTATCTATCTATCTATCTATCTATCTATCTATCTATCTATCTATCTATCTATCTGTCTGTCTGTCTACGTATCTATCTATCTATCTGTCTATCTGTCTGTCTGTCTATCTATCTATTCATGCACAAACATGCACCTCTTTACATCAATATAAACAATGACATGCTTAATATAATACTTATTTCAATGAATAATTATTGCATAAATAAAAGCTTTATTTCTGTCCTGTCCCTGTGGTCAATCTACTGTAGCATATGTATGAATGGATTCTGAATTCCCCTCGCAGCAGCTGGTGGGTCTCTGATGATTATAGATGCTCTTTTATAAGTATCAGGCCCCGTCATTTGCAGGCACCCAGGAGACTCATCTCATTCATCTCTTTAATTTGGACACTGTGCGTGCGAATGCATATTATACCACCGCTTCGCGTCGGGTGGTTCTTCGCCTCTACGTCGTGCATTAAAATCCTTTAATGCATGGCTAGCCGTGGATTATCCCTTACTTATTACTTAATCGCTGGAGCTTTAAGTGCATACAGAAAATATGATGCAGCACACATCACATCACATCACAGACGGGAGTACCCATGATCCCTTTCTTCTGTCTGAGAGGGTTTCCCTCTTGCTTTAACCACGTTTCTCTTTGTCTATGGCTGAGTGCAGAAGGAAACTCTATATTTATTGTATGCAAATCAGTATGCAACTCAAACCATAGTACACACATTTTTTTTCAAATGATCTCATTATGTTGCATGTTTAATTCAGCGAGTGGTGATCAGTTTTAATTAAGTACAGTCATTGTTAAAAAGTATTTTTTATCCTAATTTGGTGTGAAATGTTGAACTTTTGACATCAAATAATCAGTCAAAAGGAGACAAATATACATGGCCGAGGCATGGGCTACAAGAGCCCTGATAACAAGACTTTAGCAGCAGTCCTGTAGGTTGTGAATTTGTTAGTCCAGGACATCTAACAGATGCTTAATTGGATTGAGATCTGGGGAATTGGGAATTTCTCCTGCATCCAACATGTTGATTATGAGAACTGATTGTTTGCTTACCATCGAATCTACCCAGACCTTAATATGTGGCCTTGTAAGGAGAAGATCAATGGTATTTGCTTCACCTGTGACTGGTATATACTGTGTATATAGAAAAAAGAATTAAAGCAACACCAAGTAACTTTTCTCCTGCGGTCGCCCTATAGGTTGGAAGCGGAATTGTCCATTACCGCTGTTGTAAATCATTTAGCCTACCACATCCTACTGTCGCACGCACACTCGTTGTTTATCCAGCACCGGCTTTGGAATGATGTCCACAGACAAGGTAGAGTATGTTGCATGATTTCATGAAAGTATGATGTTTTGCAACATTAGAAACAAAGAAAAACTAAAAAAAGACCATTGTAACACTTGATGTAAAGCAAGTCAAATTTGTAGTTTTCTTATGTCTCATTAGAACTACAGAAACGCGACCCGATCTGGCAATCTTGTTAGAGCAGATATAGGTCTGCATAGTGTGGTTATAGCAGATATAGAGCTGCGTAGTGTGGTTATAGCAGATATAGGGCTGCATAGTGTGGTTATAGCAGATATAGGGCTGCGTAGTGTGTTTATAGCAGATATAGGCCTGCATAGTGTGGTTATAGCAGATATAGGGCTGCATAGTGTGGTTATAGAAGACATAGGGCTGCATAGTGTGGTTATAGCAGATATAGAGCTGCGTAGTGTGGTTATAGCAGATATAGAGCTGCGTAGTGTGGTTATAGCAGATATAGGCCTGCATAGTGTGGTTATAGCAGATATAGGCCTGCATAGTGTGGTTATAGCAGATATAGGCCTGCATAGTGTGGTTATAGCAGATATAGGGCTGCATAGTGTGGTTATAGCAGATATAGGGCTGCATAGTGTGGTTATAGCAGATATAGGGCTGCATAGTGTGGTTATAGCAGATATAGGGCTGTATGGTTATAGCAGATATAGGCCTGCATAGTGTGGTTATAGCAGATATAGGGCTGCATAGTTTGGTTATAGCAGATATAGGTCTGCATAGTGTGGTTATAGCAGATATAGGGCTGCATAGTGTGGTTATAGCAGATATAGGGCTGCATAGTATGGTTATAGCAAATATAGGGCTGCATAGTGTGGTTATAGCAAATATAGGGCTGCATAGTGTGGTTATAGCAGATATAGGGCTGCATAGTGTGGTTATAGCAGATATAGGTCTGCATAGTGTGGTTATAGCAGATATAGGGCTGCATAGTGTGTTATAGCAGATATAGGGCTGCTTAGTGTGGTTATAGCAGATATAGGGCTGCATAGTATGGTTATAGCAAATATAGGGCTGCATAGTATGGTTATAGCAGATATAGGGCTGCATAGTGTGGTTATAGCAGATATAGGGCTGCATAGTGTGGTTATAGCAGATATATGGCTGCATAGTGTGGTTATAGCAGATATAGGGCAGCATAGTGTGGTTATAGCAGATATAGGGGTGCATAGTGTGGTTATAGCAGATATAGGGCTGCAGAGTGAATCCAGAAGTGCCTTTCACCCTGTCATAACTTCCAATGAACCACTGAAACGATTTTTCAGATCAAAAATCTTACTTAGTGTTGCTTTAATATCCATATTTTTTCATCTTGTCATAGACATCCTCCCTTTATTAAAGTGAAGATTTGCAGTCTCTTCACTTTCTCACATTGCTATCTCATGTTTCCTGTTCTTAATCCCCTGACATGTTTAAGTGCTCCAGCATTCCTGATCAGAGTTTCTCATTTCACCACTGACGCCTTAATACCGTCCTAACCCTCGTCTCTTTCATTTCTCTTCCTCCTGCCACTCTGAGCGATCTCACTGCAATAAATCATGCTGTTTCCAGTCAAATACATTCAAACTTCACCTTGCACAAGGGATTAGAGCTTGTTACAGAGATTATTTTTTGAATGTGGTTTATATTGTTCCACTCGCAACACAAAGACACTCAATAATGTGCTTTTTCTGTCAGTCTCTGCAGTCAGAGGAAAACTGACTGATCCGCTGTACTTCAGCTCCTCATGAAGCTCTTAACAATCAGGCCTGATAATCGTACACAACTACGAGTCAAGTGGGGACTTGAGCTCTGAAGGCAAAAAACATGACAATCACCAGTCAAACACAAATTCGGTGGAAATCCGAGGAAGGTAAGAGCGCTGATTTAAATATGAGCAGAAAAAAACAAAGAAAAAATCTGGAAAACATTTTAAGAGCCAAATAGTCTAATCAAGTCAGGTCAGATTCATTCTGCAACAATAATACACGTATTTTAAAAGTATATCATTCTGTTTTCGAAAAAAAAGGCAAAAAAAGGCACGTTAACAATTATCTCGCTCCAGTTCATTCGTTTGAGCTCCTCAAAGTTCAAAGCTCCTCATCTTTTGTCTGATCGGCCGCATTTACACCGCAGGTCTTGATTTGTTGAGTATTTCAGATTTTTTTGATGACCAGCTTACATCTTCTCATAAAAGTGACCCATATCTAATATCTGCATTCACTAAACACTTGGTGAAACAACCCCAGAAAGATGTATTGACCCGGAAAGTCTGAGATCGAAAAGGAAGTAAAAACAGCGTGATTTGCAATGGACGCAGATGAAATGATAATACAAGATTTTGATTTAAAGGTCAAAAAAACATTGTGTTGAGCCTTCGTCAGACGCAAATGCACATATCCGATTCATATCAGATTTATTTCCTCATATGAATGAGGCCTGAAACCAATCTGAGAATATCAGAATCCAGGTGCTTTTTTCCTGATAACATGTTCGTGGGTCAAAGCCGATCTGTGCCACATGGGTGGAGAAAATCGGAATTGAGTCATTTGAAGCATGTACTGTAAATGTGGCCATACTAGTGTGTCATCAGATAGGTGAAGCCCATCACACACTCACCGGCTCTCCACATACAGACAGGTGAGTGTTTGGCAAAGGGTCAAGTCTTTCAAACACACTGACAGCGGCTCTCGTTACAAAGACATGGAAGACGGCCAGAGGGAGGAATCGTTCCTGTCCCTCACACGAAACACCAGCGGCCCCATTCCCATGGGAAGCTCTTATATCTACTGAAGCTTGTCCTTTCAAATGACTATCAACAGGAATGTGGTGTTTGAGCTCTCGGCAATGGTGAGATCGAATCTGTGATGGGATTATAACGGATTAAGGTGTGAGATGTACTGTGTTTTTTACTGTCTTACATGAGAGTTTTATGAATCTGTTCAATGGCGTCCTCTAGTTCCTCTTTCTGGTCGGGGACAAAGCGATATTCTGACACGTAACCTGGTGTGTGTTTGTATGGGTCGTAATCTCCAAGCTCAGCTGCAGGAAAACACAAAGAGGACATAGTGTCATGTGGTATAAAGAAAATGAAATAATAAATTAATAAAATGAAATGTTGAAATAAATAAAATGAAATAAATAAAATGATAATATACATAAATGTTGAATACAATTATAATAAATAAATAAATACAAATAAAATAAAATTATAAAAAATGATGAAGTAATACTATTATAATAAATAAATAAATAAAATTATAATACACATAAATATACATAAATGTTGAAATAAATACAGTTATAATAAATAAATAAATTAAAATAAAATGATAAAAATGATGAAGTAATACTATTATAATAAATAAATAAATACAATTATAATACACATAAATATACATAAATGTTGAAACAAATACAATTATAATAAATAAAAAAATAAAATGATAAAAAATGATGAAGTAACACTATTTTAATAAATAAATAAAATCAAATAAAAAAACATTAAACAGATTAGTACATTATAAAATAAACTAATAAAATGAAATTATACAAATAAATCAAATTAAATAAAAAAATAAATAAAATGATAAAAACATGCATATACATACATCACATACATGTGTCAGATAACAACAATCACATATCGTAATATTTTACACTGATGTTATATACAAATATTAATCATAAAATGTATTATAATAGTGGTTGGAAGGCCTATAATTCAGTGAAGTTGCTGACACATTATTTCTGTCTAAATAATAACGTACATTGTATAAGTGTGTACGTACATTGAATAGCAAGAGCTCCCAGTTGGTTGCTGATATTAAACAGACAGGGAAGTCTTCCCTGCAGAACATCTTGCTTTACCTGCAGAAAGAACTGATACCTGATAGAAGACAGACAGATGGACAGCATAAGAGATGCACTGCAGTCAAACAGCATCACCAGACCCAAAACCATATTACTGAAATGATTCCTTAACTATAGTGCTGATTCATTCTCACGTTACACACAGAACACACACCTTGTAATTTCCTCTTTCAGTTTACAAGGATCTTCAGCATAAAATTTCACCCCAAAGTAGAGTGTGAATGGAGGTCCAGCTGGAAAGAAGAAAACAACCAGTCAACACTTAAAAAAAATAAACAAGCTAAATAAACCCTAACCTAATCAAGTGATTTGTCTGTCCAGCAAAAATGATGCCAATATGACACAATCACAGCCAATCAGAGATGAGATTCCACGGTGGGTGTGGCTACCTAGCATGATGTACCACAGATAGAATTCAAGAGAAGATCAAATTTAAATGGCCACACATTAACAAGGGCCGGACAGAATAGATTTTTTTAGCGTTACATACATACACACATTACATTATAGGTCATTTTGAGCAGTTGCACAAAACAATTACATGTAGTTTATTAGTATCACTCTATACATCCAGGCAATTTTGGGTGGGAATTATTTAAATGAGGAATATTGTGACGTGTTTGTTCCCAGAAGAAACAGAAACACTGATACTGATATAGAGAAGAACACCCGCTGGAGGGACTTTGTAACTTTCCAGAGCTTTTTCATGCTCAAACGGCAACATTACACACTAAAGAAATTTGAAAATGTTAAAAAGCATAATAGGACATCTTTACAATATTGTTAGCAATAAATCTAGGTTGTACTCTGGATTAAAAAACAGCAACACTGATATATATATATATATATATATATATATATATATATCAGTGTTGCTGTTTTTTAATCCAGAGTACAACCTAGATTTATTGCTAACAATATTGTAAAGATGCAATTTTGGTATATAAAAATTGCATCTTTACAATATATATAAAGATGCAATTTTGGTATATATATTTGTATATAACATCAGAGTAAAATATTACGATATGTGATTGTTGTTATCCGACACATGTATGTGATATATGCATGTTTTTATCTTTTTATTTATTTTTTTATTTAATTTGATTTATTTGTATAATTTCATTTTATTAGTTTATTTTATAATGTAGTAATCTGTTTAATGTTTTTTTATTTGATTTTATTTATTTATTAAAATAGTATTACTTCATCATTTTTTATCATTTTATTTTTTTATTTATTTATTATAATTGTATTTATTTCAACATTTATGTATATTTATGTATATATATATATATATATATATATACTGTATATAATGCATTAATTTCCCAGAGGAGTGAATTACCAAATTAAACAAATCTGTTGTAAATTTTGCCCTACATTCACATCAGTAGCTATGCAAATACTGTGCAACTAAACAAGCAAACAGAACTTTATTCATTACTTATTTGGATGGGCTTAACTGCATAATTACTTCCAAATTATCATTTGAAATGCACTATGAGTTTTATCAGGAGGCCTTTAAAGAATCATTACGGCTCCGTCTCATGCTGCGCTCATCCATTTTTAATCTCCGCTGAAAATAGGGGGGTAATCATTAGGTCAATGCGTTTCGTCCCATGATGCACAAAGAACCATCTCTGAAGACGGCGAGGTGAATTTTTATTAGAAAACCAGTACATACTTACTTGTTATCAAATCTTTGTGTTCAGCAAGCGTTTTTGAAGGGTCGAGCCAATACTGTAAATATAAGAGATCAAAACAGGCATTAGTTAGTGAGTAGTATTGAAGCTTTGCTTTAGTTCCCCCTGAAAGCTTTGAGATGCTGAGATGTTCAGTCATGCAAGTGCTGGCATAATATGAGGCCTATTAAAACCGGCCTCTGAAACAGGCTCGTTAAAAATTTGTGCGAGAGTCACTGTGGCCTCCATCAATAAAACATGAAGTTCGAGCACGTCAGAGCATGTCGTCTAGAGCTGAACGAGTGTCTGTGTGGGCACTATAGCGGCTTTTGCTATGTTTTTCACCTGTAAGACGCAACAGAATGAGACCAAAATTATTAAAAATGCTTCCAAAAACTAAGATATGTTGCAAAAAAAGCCTCATTTGAAGTTCTTGTTTTTAATATTTATAAGCAATATCACATGAGCAAATTCGTTTTCCCGAATATCAGCACTTCTGCAAATGTGATGTTGATTTTATACAATTCAATAAACAAGAAGTTAAAGGAGAACTCTGGCGCAAAACGAACCTTTGATCTAATAAAACATCGGTACCTAGTCGACCGTTCTCAAAGATTTGTTTTCATGATAATTGAATGTAAAGAATTTATCTCTAAAAACTGTTTAGATCATAACACTAGTATATGGGGGCATAAAATAAGTAAAAAGAAATCGCTAGTTAATACCACTAGCAAGGCTCAAAATAGCCCAACACAGTAACATAATGAGGGTCCATACATGCAAAAACAACCTTGATAAGTCGGAAGTTTGGAAAACTCAATAAATTTGGAAAACAGCCTCGATAAGTTGAACCACGAACAACGACCAAGTGAGCTAAACTGTATGAAGTTCAGCGAACTTCTGAAATGTATGAATGGCGTTTGTGGTTCGACTTGTCGAGACTTTTCCAAAGATGGCTCTTGTCTGTATACGCGAAGTGGACTTTCTTTGTAAAGTATCTTCTTATTAAATGGTATGTACACTTACAAAGTTCTCAATGCATTGTTTTGCATGTAGGGACCCTCATTATGTTACTGTGTTAGTGTGGGGCTATTTTGAGCCTTGTTAGTGGTATTAACTAGCGATTTCTTTTTACTTATTATATGCCCCTATATACTAGCGTTATAAGCTAAACAGTTTTTAAAGATAAAACTCTTTACATTCGATTATCATGAAAACAAATCTCAGAGAACGGTCGACTAGGTACCGATGTGTTATTAGACCAAAGGTTCGTTTTGCGCCAGAGTTCTCCTTTAATAGGCTGTTAGGTGACTTACATTTTAGACACAAAATTGTCTGTTTTTCCTATATCTTGTCAACGAAAATAGTTTCAAATTTCCTCCTCAAGCAACACAGTTTCAGTTTTGTTACTGAATGAATCCACATTTTTTGAATGAATTGAGTTAATGAATGACTCAACGATTCATTCACTTCTGCTTAATCAGCCATTTTAAATGAATCATTTGACTAAATGATGATTTGCCACCACTTACTGTTTGTTTTACCATCGTTTTCTTTTAGCTGAGGGACTGGAGGATGAAGATTGAATGCTGTTTATGTTTTCAATGGTTGTTTGTTCACAATGGTTCTCATTATAAAGATAGAACGGGTTTATAAATAGACTATTAAGAGCGAAAAATGAGCTAACATCGTCGTGGAAAGCAGGGCGGGGCCGAGAGCCGTGGGAAGGGAGCGATGCCGGTGGCGCACCGTTAATGAGTGTCACCTTTGCGCCACACTGGTCTCGAATGTTATTCAAATGCTACATGACGATGCACAAACTGAACTTTAACACTAATTATGAGATGCTTTCATTCATTAGCAAACAAAACATCAACTTTGAGGGCATTAAAAGTCTGTGAAGCGCTACAGATAATTAACATCTCATGGCTTCTATAGTGAACAGATCTCAGGGATTATCATGCATAAACACAGCCTGAAGATCTTCTTAATGTTTTAGACTCGTCAGGTGATATTTCACTGAAGTCATGGGGGGATTGTATCTGGCATTGCCCTGAAGACAAGATTTATATGCCATTTAATGGATGTGCAAATGCATGCATGAAATACTTGAGCAAAGGGAAGCCTCCCTTCCCAACAAACATAATAAACTCCCTCTGAACCGCATTTACATAGAGAGACAAAGCAAACAAACAAACATGTGCAAACAATAGGAAATGAGTGAAGGTGTGTGTGCAGACGGAAAGAGGATTAGTGCTGCACGTTATTAAATTAGAATACATTAAGTCGTTAAGACTCATCTAATAATCACATTAGAGCAGCTGGTGTGTTTCACCGAACTGAAGAGCTCAAAAACACAACAGAGAGAGTCTAAGGCTGTGTCCTAAATCACGCTATTACGGCACTATTTGAAGGAACAGTCAATTGTAGTGGTCTCTGAAAACATTGCGGATGTTATTGAGAGTCGAGCGCCGAATAAATTAGTGTATCTCGCCAGTAGATGGCGCCGCGGATGAATCATCCATACATTTTCCAAACCGCTGGTCCAATGTGGCTACAGTGTAATATCATACAGGTAAAAATTTATTAGATATATAGATTCTAGTTTCTATAACAGAGTTGTAGATACATCTTTTCATTACTACTGAAGCTGCCATGTTTGCTGAGTGTCAAATGATTATTAAATAGGGCTGGGTATCGATTCACATTTCAATTTCGATTCGATTTCGATTCACAAGCTCTCAGTTCGATTCGATTTCGATTCTCGATTCAATTTTTGATTCCTGATTTGATTCTGGATTCGACTATAATGAAGATGTAATACAAATCCTATATTTATAAAAAAGAACAGTCGACATAAGTTTACTAGTGGTTAATTAATACAAGGAAATTAAGAGCCATAAACCTGTATATAAAACTCTTTTTATTTTAGGTACACTAAATGCATACAGAGAATAAACAGGATTTTGATGCAATATGCAAAAAAAGTCAGAACAGTCGCACAGCTTGATCAAACAGTATCATGTTATTTTATGTTTAAGATAGATATAGATAAATAAATATATAAATATTTAGACTTTTTTTTTTTTTACATTGATCTTACCTAAATGGTAATGTAATTTTGTTTATTTTTGTTTTAAGAGTTTATGTATGGAAGCTTGATTTCAATCTTTGAATTAAATTGAAAAAAGTAGCACAAATAAATACAATAGAATAAAGACACAAATTAAGAGACATTTTGGGGTAGTTTTTTGGGTATGTCAGAAATACTACAGAAACTGAATAAAGTAATCCAATGTAAAATAACACTGGATAGTCTTTTTAGTCCAGACTGAATTAAATACAAAGGCTATTAATTCTGATTGCTAACAATTAATACTATATTCTGTTGTTATGACAACAGAATTAATGACTGACACAAATGGCTGCGTTCACTTTAAGAACTAGTGCGCGAATCCATTACTGTTTCATTAACTTTCTGTCACACACGTTTAATGCTAATTTAAGACATTACCGACTGTCTTTAGGAGGTTACTCACCAAGACCAGCGTTTTGACATAATGTCGCGTGTTTTAACTGTTAAAGTGATATAATCCAGGGATAAAACTTTTGTTTCTGGCGAGCTGTTTGTGAGGCAGATTTAGGCTGTAACGTTACTGTGCACGCAGTGAAAGACATCTCTGAGAGTGCGCGAGCACGGGATGGTTAACATGCTTGTAAAACTCAAAAAGACGTGAAAATGATAAACGTTAGTTACGATCATAGGTTACGATGCAATGCTGGCCCGATTGTTAAGTGAATATTCCGTCATGTCCCGACTCCTCCAGCGCTTGCCGCTTGCCTAGTGCAGAGAGACGAGAAGATGCAGCACCGCGTCCGCGAGCCCTTTATATGGAAAAAATCGATTCCGGCCGTTGAGAATCGATTTTGAATCGAACACATTTTAAAAAACGATTAATCGAAAAATCTATTTTTTTGCCCAGCCCTATTATTAAACCGCAAGCACAAACTACACAAAAGCGGGAGCTCTTCCTGCGACTCAGTGTCCGATTCACTCACTCGTTTTCATTCACTCCTTCAACTGAACTATATTAGTGGAGTGATGTAGAGATTAATGAATGAGGGTATAGGGGATGATTTCAGACACAGCCTTAATTTACAAGAACAAGGGAGAACGTTTTACAACATTAACGACAGATGATTTAAACAATCCTTTAAGTGGATGATAAAACATGTGGGGAAAAAAATCCCACAAACTTACAATGAAGGAATACATCCTATTAATACACGGTCAATCCCGCCATCCAATCCCGCCATCCAGCGGTATGTTATTCTCAAATAACAACCGCTGAAAACAGAAAACGCACGCTCATCCGGGTCACTGAAGTCAGCAGCGATATACGCTTGCTAGGAAAGTTTTTTCTTCACGGACGTTTTGCATTTGGTGAGCTAATAAAACATTAAAACTAGGGCTGTCAAACGATTAATCGCATCCAAAATAAAAGTTTGTGTTTACATAATATATGTGGGTGCACTGTGTATAATTATTTTATATATATATAAAAACACACACACATGCTTGTATATATTTAAGAAATATTTTCATGTATACACTGTATAAATATTTTATATATAAATAATATTTTTTTCTTATATATACACAAAATAATTATACACAGTGCACCCACATATATTATGTAAACACAAACTTTTATTTTGGAGGCGATTAATCGCGATTAATCGTTTGACAGCCCTAATTAAAACTCAGTCAAATCAATATTTTGTGTACAGTTATTTAACTATACACACAAATTATATCGTGGACTTCTCTCTCTTGTTTCATACAAACGCTGCTGCCATTTTGTGACTATTGTTTTGTACACTGTTGGATGGATTATAAACAGGTACGATTATAAAACAGTTTAATCTGAAATCAATACCTCTTATCTCCATAATTATTTATGTGGCGAAATGCTGTGTAATAATAAGTGGTGTGACTGTGTAGTGTATACTGAATCTCTTAAATGTTCGTCTAGTTTGAACTTGCCACGGTGCAACTGCTCTCATTGTGGAAGCTTTGTGTTAAGACCTAATATAATACTTTAACTCAGATCAACATTTCGTGTCTAATTATTTACTTATGTGGCAATTAGGCGTGTAATAAGCGGGGTAATGTACATCCAGCCAATTGTTATCTCAGAATAAACCCCCTTCAGGTTAATGCAAGACCCCGACGCGAATCACTCTGTCGGGGGTTTTAATGAGATAACAACCAGCTGGATGTACATATAGTATTTAAACAATACTACAATAACACTGCTCAGAACAACCACATAGCAACGACCACCTAAAACTCACTAGAAACTGGATAGCAAAATGTTTAATAACGCTAGCAACTGAATTACAACATGTTAACAATGACCCCAACTACATAGCAACAGGAAAGTTCAAAATAAGAGTCTTTTCCTCCTGTAAATGCGGACAGATGTTTTTTTTTTTTTATGACTAACAGCATGTTAAAAATGTACCAACAAAATCTGTGCCAAAGGAATTTTCAGTGCCTTACAATTAGATGAAACATCTATGAGTCAAGAGCGCATGTAAACCACACCCACAGTGCAGAAACCACCACGTTACAGTGTAAATTACACTGTTTTGAGGAGGGATTTTTACCTCCTGTCTCTTTTTACCAAAATAACCATTCATAGAGTTGATAGATTTGTGTAAATGTAAGTTACGCGGTGCTTCTCGCCCACTGCATGCTCAGTAATAAATCAAGGCTCATGGGACAGGGCCCGGAAGGCATTGTGGGAAACACCTTTCTCATTGGTCGACATTATGAGGTAATGACACAACACTGCACACAACACTGCACTTTCCCAAAATTTGGCCCCTGGGTAAACCTTACCACCTTGAACTCAGACAGGACCCCGTGACCAGTTCACGGTTAACAAACTTTCTTAAAGAAACAGTACACACTAAAATGACTCGCCTTCATGTTGTTCCAAACCTGAATGACTTTCTTTCTTGCCATTTTTTTTTTTTTGCAGAACACAAAATAAGATATTTTGAAGAATGTCAGTAACCATACAGTTGACTTATACAAAAAAGAGGTTTTCGCAGAGAAGCCATGGGATCCACAAAGAACCTTTAAGTGAACAGTTCTTAAAAAACAATTTTTCCAATATAAAGAACCATTTTTTCAATTCTTCAACTTTTTTATGCTTTTCACTTTATTTAAAGGGATAGTTCACTTTGAAATTAATTTTTGGTATGTTTTATCTTACCTCAAGGACATCCAAGATGTAGGTGTATTTGTTTCCACAGTATTTTTTATTGTATTTGTTTCCACAGTATTTACGAGTCATTAAATCATGTTTAATTTGGACTTCTCTGTGCCTGCTCTTTGAGGTGGTGACCATGGACCTCCATTATATGACTGACAGACAAGAACGGTTTGACCTAAAAATATCAAAATTGAAACTACCGTGGAAACAAAGACACCTACATCTTGGATGACCTTGAGGTAAGCTAAAACATATCAAAAATTAGTTTCAAAGTGAACTCTCCCTTTAAGCAATTCATTTTTTCTGGTTCAAATGAGATTGCTTCATGTTAAATTGACTGATGTTTTAATTTTGAAATAACATGTTTCAATCAAGTACCTCAATTAAACAGGACTTTTTTCATTTCCCATCATGCTTTCCACAGGGCTGAACTGGGAGACTATATATTGAAATAAAGTGTTATTAGTTGCATTTTTTTTTTTTTTGCAACATTGAACTCAACAAAGTTGAGTTAATGTTTGATAATGTTTAATGTTCTATTATGTTGATTTTTAAAGGTTTATCTTAAAAGTTTATGTTAGTGGTTTTGGGGATTACCATGGAGAAAGTGTTGACCTGTCCTGCTAACAAGAATTCAAATTGCTTTAAAAATACCACTGATCACTTCTAGACTGCCAAAACTGAACATCACATGTGTAAAGAAAAGTTACAGTCAAACATCAAGTTAAACAAAAATTATTAAGACACCAGATATACTTTTTTGATATTTTGCACTAATGAGTGCAGGACGCTATAGTTCATGAAGATAGCAAAATAAAGTAAACTGTGACATATTATACCCAAAAAGTCTTCATACAGTGAACTACCAGTAAAAATTTGGGACCAAAAAATGATTCAGAGTTGACCTAACCATATTTTGCTTAATGTTTTTTCTTTTAATTGCTAATGCGACATTTTTACACCACAGACTAAACCAAATGAAGCATTGCTTCGTAATTGGTTGAGCTAAATTTTCGTATTATCTGATTGTGTCGTTAAATTTAACAGCTGACAGATATTCAACATAATTTATTTGTGTCTAACAGAAAGATGACCAAAACCAGTGAAATATCAACTGATTTGATAAATCTGAGTTCTTGTCATATTTTATTACCATTTTCTAAACTATTGCGAATAAACTGTGACAATGTACGAAATGTTGAAGGTGTCTGAATAAATTTTGGTTTGTTTGACTATATTTTTAGTTTGTTGTTATGTAAATCAAAGGACTAAAGTTAAACTTAGACTTAGTCAAGTTAAACTAAAACCATTCATTCAAGTTAAATGAACACCATTGATTCAAGTTAGTTGATTCTATTAGGTTTTACTAGTTTCAATCACGTGGAATCACTGTCCATGATTGATTTATGTTCAGTCAAAGAGGATTTTTTGAGTGCAGGTTTTGAATGACATGAGGGTGAGTAAATATTAATGACAGATTTTTCATTTTTGGTTAGAATATCCATATCCCCGTTTTTGTTCAATCATTGTCTGGGATGACATGAGAATCTTAATTTATGGGATCATATGTGTTTTGTGGTTGATTTTTTTGGATGCTCTGTTTCTTTAAGAGCTGTGATGTAATAATCTTCAAGCACTCACCGTTTGATGACTGTGATCGCAATAGCGGAGCCCAAAATACTCTGTTTCAGCGAGGTTCACGTGATTGAACACGTAGTCCAGCACTACAGAACCTTTGGTTGATTTCTGTGGAGAAATTAGAAATGCATTAGAAATCTCATCATGAACATCCTGTTTTCAGAAAAAGACAAGCAGCATCAAAGTTACGAGCTCAGCTGGACTGCATCTCTCCTGAGGATCTGCTGACAGTGAGATGAGGGTTTGTGGCTTTCTTCTCTGATTCAATAGTGTTTAAAGGACTACTTTCAACCACAAACCACACATATGATAAATGAGCTGTGCACACACCGGTTACAACATGAAAACACACACTGCTAATGCGAACAAAGTTGAGCGTGACTAAGGTAAATAGAGGTAAAAGAGTAGGATAGAGGTAAAAAGGAAACACAATGACTAAACCTGCTATTACGTTACACTCTGATGATATATAGCCTACTCCTTGTTTTTTAATATTGTTGTAGCTCTGAGGACCTGTTTAGGCTACACCTGGTATTAAAGGTTGTATCGGCGATTTCAGACCCAAACAAAAATGATCACATTCATCTAATCTTTCCTAATGATCCAATAGCTGCCTGCCCCATTAGAAGGCTGTTAAAAAAACGCATCTCTGTAGGCAGCCTAAGCTCTGAGATCTGCACACAAAAAATTCAAATGGGAACTAGGCCTGTACCAAATTCCGAAATTCGAATATAATTCGAATATTAAAAAAAATCAATAATATTCGAATGCTGAAGTTACTGTTCGAATATTGCTTTTTTTATGCATATTTATGTAATTTTCTTTTATATGCAATCTTGCATTTTCGCCGCCTTGGCTCACACGCAAGTGAAAATGAAATGCCTTTGTTTCGTCTGATGAACAATAACGTTTTTGAATCGTAACACAAGTGTGCACGTTATCCACGGTGTATCATCATAACAACTGTCAAAAATGGTAGCCTAAATGTTTAACGACGTAAAAAGCGCACCCCCAAAGCGCCTGAGAAGCGAAAAACGCAAATATCTCAACGGATTCGGTGCGCATCGAGCTTGTTGGAACTGTCTAGTCAAACTGAAAAGAACAATAGAAGTTTCATTTGGTGGTGTTTTCACGGAGATATCAGCCATAAAACCATCGGAAGCGCTTCAGCCATATTCAGCATGAATAAAATGTGAATAGAGATTGCCAGAGCCGTTTAAAAACACATGAAGTGGACTGTCTTTATAAAATATAAAATATCTTCTTTTTAAACGGTCTGTACACTTACAAAGTTCTCGATGCTTCGTTTTGCATGTAGGGACCCTCATCATGTTACTGTGTTAGTGTGGGACTATTTTGAGCCTTGTTAGTGGTATTAACTAGCGATTTCTTTTTACAAATTAAATGCCCGCATTACTACCGTTATACGCTAAACAGTTTTTAGAGATAAAACTCTTTACATTCGATTATCATGAAAACAAATCTTAGAGAGCGATTGACTAGGTACCAATTTGTCATTAAACCAAAGGTTCATTTTGCGCCGGAGTTCTCCTTTAAGATGCGGTCTCGCATATCCACCATTTTTGTAGTTTTTTAAACTCTTTGTATTAGTGTTTGTAGTTCTAATATATTAGCCATTAGAGTGTGCATTTCGGGTTCAAACCAGACCAACCGGGTATCTTTGGAATACTCATTTCAACATACCATGATTTGGGACACACTCTGTTTAATAAGCGAATTGGGAATTTTTGATTTTGAATTAAATGGCGCCTTGGTGAGAGAGTTGAAAATATCAAAACAACACTAAACATATGGTTTAGTCGATAAACATTTGGTTACCCCCTGAATACAAGATGAATCATCAATATTTTTCATCTGTTTTGCTCTAAGAGAAAAAAACTGTAAAAGCATATATCTGCTTAAAGTTGATATTTTTGGGCATCATGGGGTCTTTAAATCAGAGGCAGATTTAAAACATCTCACTCATCCCCACCCTGCCTTAAAAAAACTAAACCAGTTCAGCCCTGTTCTAGTAAATTCATGCAACGTAACCACCTAATAAAAGTTTTACAATGTTAATAAATCTTCCGTGTTTATGTGACATCTCTGCTGATAGTTGTGCAACTGCAGCTCACACGTATGACACACGTCAGCTCATATGACACACGGTGAGTGAGAGGAAACCTGCAGGAGTGAGTGTGTGTGAACACACACACACATATAAAACACACAAAGGGTTTGGCGTGTATTCAGAGTTTTGCAGCTCCACACAGACGTATGTCATGATCACTCCTATTACACGCTGCAGGGTGAAACACAATAAACTTCAAATCTGAAATACTATATTCAGCAGAAAACCCACAGGACTGAAATATCACACACACGATCTCTTCTACATCTCCTGGTGAGAGATGAGATTAAACGGAGAGCAAATGTTTCTCCTGGGTTATCTCACACAAGTCTCCTTTCAAAACAGATCTCAAAAATGTCTCTCAGATTTTCTGCAATAAAAATTCAGAGATCTCAGCATGATCTCAAACATTTCTCATCAAATGATCTGACTTGTTGTTATCCACCTTCATTTCATAGCACTGGATGACAACAATGAACTTATTTGGGTCTTATTAAAATAAAATAAAAATCATTTTGATAATAGTTGATATACTTTAATGAAATGTAATTGAAGCCTCATGAGCAGAATTACAGGGATCATTAAATCAATAGTGATTATTTCTAGAAAATGATTTCTTTTTCAAAACTCAGACACAACAAGTGAAAGTTTTAAGTTTTCATTTAGATTTAATATATTTTATGTTTTATTGACGTCTTTCCGCAGTTCAAAAACTGCTTGATGATTACGAGTATATTTCAACATGCTGTTGATGATGTTCATTCGTGTTTATTTCATGCTATAACTAACTAGTAGTAAAGAGGAAGTGATCTGATCACGTTATCGTTTTATTACAAAAGTGACATAAATTGAAAGTTGAGACTTTGTTTCATATGAAAAGTAACAAATTGCAGAACGTATGGGTTGTGCGCAACAAATAATGTTTAGTGAAGATTTGTTCACGAATTGACTGAAAATACCATACAGTAGACTAAAAGATCTCACTTCATTAAAATAATTCCTTGAAATCGAGATTATCAAGCCGACATGTTTACATTGTAGCTTCTCTGACACGGTCGAAACACGCCATCGGAGCCCTACAAAACCGTTTCAGTCGATAACGAAAATGCATTTTCGGCCAAACATTTTTGGATGCAGAAAAATCTTCAATGCATCACTATAGGTATGTTTAAGCGACAAAGATGTACTAAAACCTTAAAAGTTTTTCCTTTGTGTTTGTCGCATATAGACGACAGCGTTTTCATGGATCTGCGAAAATGACTAAAAGAGCTGTATTCTGCTGCCAGGCCAGTAGATGGCGATGTCACTTTGTAAAGAAACACTACGCGTCAATAGACTGAAAATGTAAAGGCCTGTTCACACCGGGACGAATTTCGAGCGCGATATTCGCCGACGTTTAACGCCTTGTGACTAAACAAAGGTCGCCAATGTGAGTGTGCACAACGACGCGAAAAACGCCACGTGTAAAAGCATCATTTTTTTTAAAAAAACACCTCGGGTTCGTTTTTTTGGTTTGATCAAAAACTATCCGACCAATGAGACTGGTGCTTTTGCTCACGTGTCTGGTGCTTCTGAAGTTACAGTAAAACACAACTCGGGGCGTTCAAACACAAAACGGTCTTACCAAGCACACATACATAATGGCGAAGAAGATATACGCCACCGTCTACACTGCCGGAAGACGAAGAAGATACAAGGCAAGATATCTATGGGCAAGATGAATGTTGAGCTACTGGTCTCGTTGGTCTCGGTGCATAAAAAGAGCTATAAAGCATAAAGAGCGGGGTATTTCTGTTTTACATTAAGCGCCATCTAATGTCAGGGATAGGGATGGGACGGTATGAAAATTTCATATCATGATTATAGTGTCCACAATTATCGCGATTATCAATATTATCACGGTTTTCTTAAATTTAGATATAAAGTGTTCAAAATATAAAGTGTAAAAATATAAAATATAAATATAAAGTGTTCAAAAAGAACTGATGCTCACACTGAAAACATTTCAACAAGTTTTATGAATGAAAATCAACAAACAACAAATAAACAAGCCTCTCTATGCAGTTTTTTTTTAAGCAAGATTCTACTCTATGGCATTTCCTTCTTTATAATGCCCGTCGTCAATAGCAACGCATTTAACACACACCGCGCACATCAATATCACAAACGGACAAGCGCTCGTTTAATTCAATAACTTGCCGTCTTGCGTCTCCAGTTTTTGATTGTTTTGAAAATGAAATCAGAGTTGATTTATTGCTTACAGAGTTTGATAATATTGGTTTAATAATCATCTTGTCTGGACGATTGTTTTACTAAATGAATTTATAAACGGGTAAGATTTAAAACATTAGCTAAACTCATTATCAATTCAATATGTCCCCGTAATTATGTGGTAAAAAAAAATCGGTGTAATACGTTAAAACGTCACTCTTAATAATAATCTTATTTGAAGATGTTCGTTCGTCGGCTCAAAGACACTTGCTGCAAAATTTTCTTCGCATGCAGAAGCTTCACTTCTATTTCAAGTGAGTGACATAAAATGTTTAAACTCAAAACAACATTTCGTGCCCATTGCCCAATTGTTTCCCAGACCTAGTTTCGGTATTGAAGTCAAAGTTAACTTGCCTTGTGTTCGCTATACAACAGCGGGTGATGGTTACACAAGAAGACGTTTCTTTTGGACAGTGACTTTTTGTTTTGCAGACAGGGTGATATCCTCGATCAAGTTTCCCTCAGGACTTTAGTAAACGCCTAACTATGACCACACTCCAGATTTGGTCCTCTTAAAAGGCTGAATCTCCCAAGCACGGTCACTGCCTTCCGCCATTCCTTCTCGAATAGTAAACATTGCGTGCAGCGCGCGGCTGCGTCAGACTGGCCGACAGGATT